TGAACTGAGCCGGCGCCCCGGCAGAGGGTTTTTGTCCGTCTCTTTCTTCTCTGGCCGACGATAACGCCGCGCAGAACCGGCCGCTGGGAGCTGCGTGCGGGCAGGGGTCCCCTGCGCGTTCAGTTGTGTTCCGTCTGCTCTCCGTGTCTTGTCCCGCTGTTAACAGACAGGTTGATGGGCCGTGCTTCAAACTTCTTCACCGCCTTTTCGCTTCTGTAGTACCTAGTTGCTGCCATCCTCCTCCTCCTCCTGTCTTGCAGCGGGGCAAAAATTCCGACCGTGTTTCCCTTCCTCACCCTTTTGCTCTTTTTACCAATATTTAGTGAACGCTTCTGTTGAAATATGGGTGGTGCCAGTAACCATAATGGCTTTCCTTGTATTTTTCAACGTTTTCTGGATACTTTGTTTATTGGTTTTTAGCTTGGAGGCAGAAAATTAAACGTATGCTAGAACCTCACTGGCTTGTTTTAAGCATGTCATCTTAAATGCATGTAAAAACGTCACTTGTTGGAGTTTGATTGTGTTCAATAATCAGTCCAGGCCAGCCTTTCAGGAAAGGCAGTCTTCCAGCCGTTGTGATATATATATTAGTGTCTTAGGGAGATTTCTGTGGTTATGTGACGTTTTTAGGGTGGCGCGAGCAATTTTTAAAAAGAGGCTCAAGCCACTGTTTCACAGGAGACAGCTTGTTTGTAGCGGTGGAGATTCTTGATGCAACCAGTGAGAGATCTGGGAGCTAGCAGTTGCGTTGCGGAGAAAAAGTCTAGAAAACGTGTTCTTAAGTAAACCAGAATATATTTCTGCGCACATTAGGATTATCAGTGTTTAGAGGAGCGGAGATCTAGAGAGAAGTTTGCGTTCTGGGTCCTGACATTCGTTATGAGTTTTACGTAAGTCTCTCACTGAGTACTCGTGATATTGTCTGCGTTGTGATGTAAGTTTTACATCTTCCTCAGTTACTAGAGGAGAAGAGGTTTTTGGAGGCTGCCTACAGCGCGGCTGATTGTCTTTATTCGACAAGCGCGTACTAATGTTTGCGTGTGGCTGAGAGCCCCAAGGTATCTGCCTGGGATAGTGAAAGTGGAGAAACCTGTGTGCAGTTCACAGGCAGGCGATGGCTGGGGTTTCCCCAGATCTACTTTGATGCAGGATGGGGTTGGACTGACGGTGCTTCGCAGTTCAAGCGTAATCTAGAAATGCTAGTTTCAGTAGTTGCTCTTGGCTTTCTTCACAACCAAGAACTTGTATTTTCTGGACTCCTCCACATCAGCACAAGCCTGGTGCTGGCCATTTGATACTGCAGTTGTCGGATAAAAGTTGTGGGCAGTGCTAAAAGCTACAGGCTAGTTGTCCCTGCTTAAGACGAGTTGCGTACTAGTAAAGCACAAAGTTTCTCCCTACATGCACGCTGTGAAAATGTCTAGAATAGTTAATAGGAAAACAAATGATCTCTGCTTGGTTTTGTTTACAAAGAGTAGCTATATGAGCTAAATAAAGGTAATCTTGTTTGGCCTTAAAATGAGTTGGTGCACTTTGCATGGAATCAAAAAATCGGGCTTGAAGACAGCTTAGAAATTGAAGCAGGTGTATCGTTGATGAAACTGTACGGATAGATATTTAATGTCTCTTGCTTATGAGGATAAAAATCCACTTTGGAGGCTTATGAAGGTTACATCATCACTAGAGAGACTAGTGTTTCTAGACCCTAAAATGGTCTTCTGATTGTTATTATCACTGGGCTACTCCACATTCCTTACGTTTTACTGCTGTCTCTTTTTTACTCTCAGGTCATGCATCACTTCTGTTTACTCCCTGCTCTGACTGATGATTCATTCCCTTCCAAGTGGCTGTGAAATCTGTACTGTGTCTTCAGAAACATTAGAAAAATGTTTGTAATGTAAATGTTACAGAAATGTCTATGCAAAATTACTTTTTAGGGTTTTTTAAACTAAAATCAAGTAATAATGCTATTTTCTCTTGCCTTCCTTTCCTGTCTTGTCTCGCTTTTATTCTTTAGCTGTTCTTGAGTTTATTCTTTAATTGTATTCTTTAACTATGTATCTACTCTCAACTTTCTTCAATCTTTCTTTCCTTTTTCTTGTCTTCCAGTTTTGACTGTATTAACGCCATTGCTGATTTGATACTCTTAGAGTTTTACCTTCTCCCAGTATCTTAACTTGCCATCAGACACTATGAGGAGACTGGCTTTTCGAGGTGCTGGTTGTACTCTGGTAAATCTGGTAAATTATTGATTGTTTGTGCACCATTCTCTCCATTCCTCTGCCTTGGGCTTTTGCTTTTCTTTATCCTAACTGTTGATTACTCCTACCTCATTCTTGTTCATCTGTGTGCTTGAAATTAATTCTGTCTCTAATAGAAATGCTCTAATGCAGTTATGTCATACTGCCATACCTTGTAAAATCAATTGAGTACTTCCTAGAAAAAAAAATCCCTTGATTCGCTTGGAAAACGGGCAGTGCCCAGAATAGATGAATCTATTTTGTCTTCAGGCTTCGAGACAGCTACAAATCAAGATATTTTTATAGTGTTGTCGCTAGAGATTGGGAAAGAGCCAACAACTTGCTCCATAAATCACCATTGTTGCTGGATGGCTATTCATTTGTTGCTGTTCATGTAGATAAACTAAAACCTATGACCAAAAAAGGAGGTAGCTTTTTTGCTTCCTGATGATTGAGCCATTTGTCCTATACTTAAAGTAGGAGTCATGGGTCGCACGATGGTCCATGCCTTTTTTTTTTTTTTTTGGGCGTGATTCTAAGACAAGGTATTCAGTACCAGCTCAAATTTTAGTTTGTCAGTTGCTTTCTCTCTCTCTCTCTCTCTCTCTCTTTCTCTCTCTTTTTTTTTTTTTTTTGGCATAAAGAGGCATGCTTTTCCATCATAACTGAACACTTATTTCTGTCCAAATTCTCTCCTTTATAACAGGAGTTCACACTTAATTGTGAATGGCATGAGGAATCAAAGTGTGGATGGTTTAAGACAGTATCTTAGTATGAGCTGCTAAACATATCTTCATTGCTCTATTTGAGTCCTAGTCTTTCTGACATAGCTGTGGTCAGGGACAGTATAAAACTGTAGGACAATTTTGATAACACTTTACCCCTGTCCGTTTTCAAGAAGCTGGCTAGTGTTTAGATATTGCTTAATTAAATTGTAACATGTAAAAAACGTATGCGACCCATTCTAAAGCGTTACTAGGTTAATAGTTAGCTCTCACCAGAGAGTTTGCCTGCAATGCCATGAGTTTAAGAACATTTCTCTTCATTATAGAAGAAGTTGGATTCCATGGGTTCCAAGAGGCGAAGAGCCACCTCGCCTTCCAGCAGCGTCAGCGGAGGAGACTTTGATGATGGCCACCACTCCACGAACATACCAGGCCCAAGCAGAAAGAGGAGGAGACTTTCCAATCTCCCAACTGTGGATCCTGTTAGTACCTTTTTATTACAGCATCCCCAAAATAAAAGTTGCGCATATGTTTGGAAAGCCGTGGGTTAAAGTAGGCCCTTCACAGCGCAAGCTCAGATGGTCCAGCACAGCCAGAGCATATCAGAGTTGCTGTGCACGTGATGGTCGTTGGCGCGTGTACAGTGGCTTGTCATGCCTTGAATCTGTTACTGCCCTGGCTAGGCTTTGTTTAGTATCTCATTCAGCTTTGGCTTGCTGTTCTTAGCTCCACAGTTTTGTCCTTCTTTCCCATTTTCCTTTTGCTGCCTTTGTTTCTTTTTTTGCTGATTGTTTTAGCAGATGGAAGGAGGTTGGGGAGAGAAATGAAGTCATAAAGTGCAGCAGTTGAGAGCTGTGGCTGAACAGCAAGTGCAGGAGTAGAGAAAGGCAAAGGCAGTGATTGCTGAAATGTACAATGTCTTTGTTGTGCCTTTGAGTTAGCAGTCCTATTTTAATTAATTGCAGTGCAGCAGAACCCCTGTTGTTGTTTTTGATGCTTATAACTCAGGGAGAATAGCACTGAATTAATTTATGTTTGGGTGTTTTACTTAGTGTGAGCGTTGAAAGGAAGCTCCCTGTATATATTTATATTTATATTTAAAAAAAAAAAAAAAAGATTCAAGATTCTGCAGCATCTGAGCATGTCAGATGTCCTACTAACTTATGAGATGCACCAAGTTCTTCCCACTTCTACTTTAGAGCATGTTGTATAATGGCCCCTTGACTTTTTCACTGGAAGCAGACCTTGATTTGTTACCTTCTTACAATTTTTAAATTTTTTAAAATCTTATTTTCTTGCATTTTAGATTGCTGTATGCCATGAACTTTACAACACGATCAGAGATTACAAAGATGAACAGGGCAGGCTCCTTTGTGAGCTTTTCATTAGGGCCCCAAAACGAAGGTAAGGCCGTGCTTCTTTTTAAGCCTCAAACCCAAGATTTAATCAGGGAACAAATGGATACTGAGGAATACTTCACCGTTAATGGCTGTGAAAAATATAAAGTAAATTTGCCACAGTTTCACAACAATGTTTAACCGAAGTATTTGATGTAACTGTTCAAAGGGACATGCCAATATTGGGGCCTGTTTTTGGTCAAAAAAAGAAAATTGAATTTATTCAAAATGTTTTATGTGACAACCGCCTAAAACATCTCTCTCTTGGACTATAAAACAGTCCTTAGAAACGGTGGAATGAAATAGGTCGTTTCTTGGGAAGATTAATAAGACTGACCCTTGAAAATGCAGTAGGTAAAATAAGAGGCTGAATTTTATCTCATACTCAGAAAATTGACAATGGTAGCATAACGTAATAATAAGTTTCCTGATAGGATGCAGTCTAGATCTTTTAGCTGTAACAAAAACGTATTGGAAAACTTCTTATTTTATGAAGTCATAAACCTGTACAAAATTCAGTACTCGTCTTGATTTTACTACTTGGAATAATGCCTGTTTTTGTCATAATAACAGAAATCAGCCAGATTATTATGAAGTGGTTTCTCAGCCAATTGATTTAATGAAAATCCAACAAAAGCTAAAGATGGAGGAGTATGACGATGTGAATGTGCTGACTGCTGACTTCCAGCTGCTCTTTAACAATGCAAAGGCCTACTATAAGGTGAGGAAAGTACATTTAAAGGCTAAAATTAATAGGCTGCGAAAGCAGTAAGTATATGTTCGAATTCTTCCTTGATTTAGCTAAAAACTTTTCTGTTTAGCTGTTATCATTAGTAAGAGAGCATTGCAGCAACACATGCTTATTGCAGTGGTGTGCTCGTTTTTCCATAACGTTAACCCTATCTTTGTGAGACACCCTGCATTAGTAACTTGTTGTGGGGAAAATATAAAAGAACGTGGTAGGTGTCTTTGTGTTGGTTTCTGAAAAAGAGATAGAGAGCAAAAATAGCTAAAGGGATACAATGGGATAAAATACATTGGGAAAAACATTGTTCCAGCATAACCTTCCCATTGAAGGAGATGATAAGTTATTCTGTGTAATGTCTTGAGATAGAAAAAGATATGTTTCTTCCCAAAAAGAAGAACTTATAAATAACAACAAGCATACGATACGATTGTTGAATCTTTCTCTTTCATTGGCCGCTTATTACAGTGGGGAAAAAAGGCACAGTGATCGTCATGATCGTCAGTGATCACTGATTGTGAGCGTATGTGGTTTTCATGTGTATTTCCGCAGAGGTGCGAGCCTCCCATCCCTTTCCCCAAACGGGGTATGTGTTTTATTTTAGATGTTGACAAGTCTTCCTGTGGTCGTCTTAAGGAAGGGGAAAAAATAGAGCAAGTTATTTTAATGAAAGCTTACGTTAAATACGTAAAATAACGGACTTGCATGTTGTAACTGGGATTATATAGCAAATCTGAAACTTTACTGCTAGTATTTCCTTTATTATGTCTTTAGCTTTGGAGATGATCCAAATAATTGCTTTCTGAATAACCCGACCAGTGTAACTAAGTGACGTTCAGAAAAGCAATGGTTATTTTGTGTATAGACTTGTGTATGCAGATAGCTTTTTTGGATTTATGCGCTAATGCAGTTACACATTCTGGTTATAGTACAAAAAGCATAAAGATTCCCACGTTCGTCCTGTGCTCCTGAAGCTTTGCAAGGCACTCACTGTCCCTTAATGTTGGCTTTTCTCTGGTTTCTGCATGAGGGAGAAAGAATTGATGGCAGGGGAGGATGATGAGAAAGTTGCAAGATGTGTCCTGCCTTTGCCTGCGGAATGCTGGGTTCAGGATTATGCCTCTATCTTAAAAATCTTGCATGTGGCATTGAAAATTGTAGCTATTTTCCTAGCATATAGGAATGTTATTGACGTTTTCAGGAGAAATATGGCGTTATGAGCCGAAGGTGTGATACGCAAACATAACCTCATCTCTCTTTCATCTTTTACGATACCCACACAGTTCCAGTGATGCATTTAAAACAGGGAAGGCTGATTCATTGTCGAGGTGTTCATTGCAGCAGGTGCATTATTGGCAATGTTGTGCTAGAAAGGAAACCTTCAGCGTTTTAGTATTTTGGTTATTCTGGTTCAGTTGAAGTTTTGCGCTTCTGAGCATCTTACATGAGTAAAGAAAGGAACAGACTAGTAGAACAGAATACCCTTTAAGTTTTTTTTCCTCTTACCTAACATCTGGTCTACTGTCTTGAGAATATTTAAGCGTAATGAGGTAAGCTTAAAAATAGTTTTTCTGTTAGTTTTTCATTTCTATTACACACTGTCGGAGGTGGGGAGAGTAAAGCAAGAAGAGCATAATAAACAGTAATAAGCTGACATATCTTCAGGAATACCTGAAATAGAGGTGAAGTGACAGAGGAAAGGGAAAGAAAAATGTGAGAGTGGAAAAGCACATCAGGAATGTTTTTAAGTTAATAGGCACATGTTTGTCTCCTGCTACCAAGTCTGTACGTATAAAACTCAGTTTGCTATCTAATCATTGGAGCTCTTCCCAAAGGTGAACCTAGATAGCGGGATACTCTCAAGTTCTTTGGAATTTCAGGTTAGTGCTGGATTATGGAAGAATGTGAAGCCTTGCAGTGCTGTCAAAACATCTGCACATTTATTGACATTCTTGTCCCGTAGAAATTAACTTCAAAGTGCCGTACAATGACAGCAGTGCTGGCTTAAATCACATTTCTGGCATCCTGATATTTAGTCTGTTTTAAATATCAATAGTGCTATGCTGCAGCAAAACCTAGCAGTCTCTCCAGATTCGTTTAACGTGCTTGCCCAAGCTTCAACCCAAACAGTTTCGTTGCTGAGTTTTCCCAGAGACTTGCATGCTTTGGACTGATAGAAGATATATTTTCGAGTGCTTGTTACCGGTCTTAACATCTCTGCTGAAGAACTATTGAACTAGTAATATCCCTGTTCTCTATTATTTATCTAATGCGTTTAATATATTCCAACCAAGAATTTATAAATTTGCTTCATGAAAACCTCATTAAAATCCTGACTTTTCTTACAAGTATAGCGTTTGATTTATTTTGACAGCCTGATTCTCCTGAATATAAAGCTGCCTGCAAACTATGGGAGTTGTATTTGCGCACAAAGAATGAGTTTGTTCAAAAAGGAGATGCGGAGGAGGAGGAGGAAGAGGAGGAAGGACATGACAACCAAGGCACAAATTCTGAATTGGTAAGTCTAGGCACGACAGCTGTTGTTCAGTGAAGGCATGGCAGCGTCTGACATCTAACCCCAAGAGGGAGATTGGCCTCTATTTGTGAAAAGCCGTTATTCTTTTCATGGCTAAATTATGCCCCCAAAATATTTTTTACACAAGCACTATGTATGTTTCATACATAGCGTGTGCTACAAACATACATGCTATGTATGTTTCATTTTCTTATCTACCCGAAAACAGTTATGAGATGATCTCTGATATGGAGAAAACAAATGCGGTTCTGGTTCAGTTGCGATTACTAATAAATGCACGCTTCATATCATGCCAACTTTGAGGTTTGATGCAAGAAAGGATCACGTCTAATGAGATTGTTTTCCAGTGTGGCACCCATTTGGTAAACGCAGCTGTTCTTAGACTGTTTTATAAGCCGCACAGGATGCTAGGAAGTTTGGGGCTGTCAGAGTTGTGTGTGCATTGGGATGCATGTTTTCATTATTTTTGACAACTTTATCCTAGCAGTGCAACGTATATCTAACAGCATGCAGTGCAAATCCGACACTAGATTTTTCTCAGATGCTTTACCCAAGTGCATAAGCGGTGTTTTAAAAAGTTGCAGGCATCTTTTATAGCTGACCTTTTCTGTCTTTGAGAAATAAATTAATGTAGTGTAAATGTAAGCACTCTTCTATGACTGTTACTAGAGCTTCTTGTGTTTTTGTTTCTTGTATTAGTCATCTCCAGGGTACCTGAAGGAGATTCTCGAACAGCTTCTTGAAGCTGTAGCTGTCGCCACAAACCCATCAGGTCGCCTCATAAGTGAACTGTTTCAGAAGCTTCCTTCTAAAGTGGTGGGTATTTTAATAATATGGGTGTGTTCCGAGTTTGGAATCTGGAAACTTGTAAAACTGATGTTACGCGCCGACTGTGATACCGACACTCGGCACGTGGTTCTGCCTTATGGTCTCACCAGTGGCAAGCTCCAGCTGTTTTTTGAGCTTCCCTCCTTTCTTTGCTCTTAGCCACTCGTTACCGGCCCTACCACTGCAGGTTGGTGCTTGCCGGTTACATTAATTGGGGTTTTCTGGCTGGGTGTGTTTTTAGTCTTTTTAAAGCTGACTAATTTAGGATTAGGACATGGCATAAAAAATTTAACAAGTAAAATAAACACAATACTGTCAAGGTGATCACCCAGCATTTTGCTTTTAGTCAGAATCATTCCTTTATGTCAGTTTATTGAGGAGTTATACTCGCATATATCTGTCTTATAATCTAGTCTCCCGAAATAAAGCCTGGTGCTATGTTTAAGAAGCTTATGCTGTTCTTATTTACAATTAATCTTTAATAAGAGCTCGTACAGTGACTTACAAGCAATTTGTGACGGTTTATAGTAATACATACAATTTTTGTTTTTCAGCAATATCCAGATTATTATGCAATAATAAAAGAGCCCATAGATCTTAAAACAATTGCCCAAAGGATACAGGTACAGTATGAGCGTATTAAGGTGTCATAGCTCTCTTTGTCTAACTTCTCCAGAAACTTATCTGGCACATAAATATGTTTTCTTTATTCTGTATGAATTCCCTTTGCTGTTCACTATTGATTTCATTCTCATGCCCTCTGCAGATTACCACTTTAAGCCATTCTGTTTTTCTGTTGTGCAGAACGGAACTTATAAAAGCATTCATGCAATGGCCAAGGATATAGATCTTCTAGCAAAGAATGCCAAAACGTACAATGAACCTGGATCACAAGTGTTCAAGGTTGGTTGCAGTTGTTTATAGTTAAATGCGAGTTCAGATTTTATTTACTACTTTATATGCTGATAGATCACTGAATGAGTTTTTAGTATAAGGTCATGAAGACTTTCTTTTTCATGAATAGCAATTAGAGGCTCTTCCTTTTTTGTATTCCTTGTAGTAATATTGGGCTATATACAATATTTTCCCTTGAGGTACACGAATTTTTCCAATTAAATTTCATCTCAGAGGGTATGAGTTACGTAACTTTTTTTGAGGAACGGAGGATCCCTTACTTGTGATTAAAGTTGAAATGGCTGAAGCTACAGGTTCAAACGATAACGCTAGTAGTCACCTGTCATCTCTTTCCAGATTGCAGGAACTTTTTGTGGCTTTCATCTACTGACTTGAAAGCTGGAATCAAGCTTTTGTTGCATAGCTTTTGAAGATCCCCTCTTCCTTTTAGCCATGTTTTTGTGACCAAAATGCACCTCCGCTCTTTTTTTTGTTCTCAGTTAGTTGACCAGCTTTTTCGGTGCAAATGATCACGTTGCGGTTTTCATATCCTCTGGAAATAAGAGAATTTCAGCGGGGAATAATTCCTTTGTGTGCTTGGTTTTTACAAACTTTGCATTAAGAGAGCTTGTGTATGCATAACATTTTTCTGTCAGCGCTTCTTGGACTTTTCCAGCTGCGCTGCTGTCTGGAGCATAGTTTCAGTTCCTAACAACGTTGCTCAGCCTTGGAACCTCACTCAGAAGCTGTAATCTCTATTTTGAGAGCTGTTAACGCTGAGTATCAGATCCACTGGTATAGAAGATGAGAGTATTGTAAAGCTTGGTGATGGTAGTAGCTTTTTCCTTGAAGAGAACAGGTACTCACCTGCCTGTTTAGTTCAGAGTGGTATTTATCTATGTTTGCAAATGATAGTGTGTTTTTTTTTTTTTAAAGAAAATGAGCTTGAAGCTACTCAACTTTTCTGTTCAGTTTTTATAACTACTGTAGGTCTACTATCAAGGCAGACTTTGTTCTGTGCTTCATTTCTCATGCAAAACTGTTTTTATCTAGAATGTAAAAAAACCCAAAACCCTCTTTTTTGTTCTTGATTTTTTTTTTGGAGTATATTTACCTAACACTAAAATTCTTCATTTTCAACTTTAATTAAAAGAAATTTTTTGTTTAACAGGACGCAAATGCGATAAAAAAAATATTTAATATGAAAAAGGCTGAAATTGAACACAGTGAGTTGGCCAAGTCAAGTCTCCGAATCAGGTACTGCAAACAGAATTCTGCTTAGAATCTCATATAAAAATCTCTGTAGACGTTCCCTAAATTTTGCTGTGGAGAATCTACTGGGAAATAATTGCTTGGAAAATTTTTATTATGGTTTTAAAAGTCTTAAACCAGAGGAATAGGTTTTAGAAGGATACTTCTTTTCTGAAATACTACTGTGGTGAAATAGTTGTGAGATATTTGATGGTGAGACTAGCATGTCAGTGGATCTTTTATAGCTTAAGCTATGACTAAGTTTCACTATGTGTGTTCACAAGTAAGAACAGAAAAGTCGTAACGAGGAACAAGGTGCTCTTTTTAGCTTCGCTTTACAAAAAACGCTGAGTATTGTTGAACCTTGTTAGGTGTTGTAAGACCTAGCGTGGATTTCTTTGGTAAGTTCTCAGTTAATTAGCTTGGGGCAGAAACACAGGAACAAGGCTGCAGGCAGCAGATGTTTAGAGGGAACTTTGTGTTATTAAAAACTCGTTTGAAAACCAGTTTCTAACTATGGAAAGAGACAGAATACCCTGAAGATCTGGGCTTGTAAATCAGCGAAGCGTAGATTTGATCTTGAACAGGAGGGTATAAAATACTATTGATCATTTTGTTTGTTCCATGGAATGACTTCATTTGGGAAATAGCGTTTTCTTCTTGTCAAAATCTGTACTGTGTAAGAAGCAATGCAGTCATTTTAGAAGTATTTCTTATCTGAGATATAAATGGATTTATTCCATTTATAAACTCTTGCTTATGAGTAGCACTCAAAACGAAGTTTAAATACTCTTTTTCCAGTATGGTCCCTGTTTGTTTTTTTTTTTTTAAATAAAAGACCTTTTCCAAGTCTTCAAAATCACTAAGGAGTTATGAGCTCTTTTGCAGTGGCATTTGATACTAAAAGATAAATTCTGTTGATCTCCAGCAAAGGTTTGTATGATACAACTCAGAGTACTGGCACTTCCTTGTTTTACTGAAAGGCAGTTTTAAAATTATATTTTAAATATAATGAAAAATGTTTTAGATGGTGTTAGTATTAAAAGTAGTACCTAAGAGTATTATAAGTTTAAGAGATGAAAGTCACCTGCGTGATTTTTACTATTTGGTGCTTTGACACGTTCAAAGCATACAGTTGTTCCTCTTTGTTTCATTTCTTTAATGCCGATTTGCTTCCCACGTTTGGGTGACTCATTCGCACAGCTATAGTGTTGAGAAAAAGACTTAACAAAACAGAAAAATTTAAAAAAAAAAAAAGCAATTACTCCTGTTAAGGAGTAATTCTTGAGGCGTCTTTTGATAATTTTCCTTCTTAAAAGTATGCGTAGTGCCAGAGGACTTTGACTCTAGAAACGCCTAATCCACGTGTGTAATTGCTGTGAATCGACAAGAATTACATAAGGGTACGAGGGTTTTTCTATGTGAGGGTATAAATTGCGCTTTTTCTTATTACATTGGGCACTGATGAGGTTCAGGACATCACAAGCATGTGTCGTGTCTAATTTTGAGACTTGTAACTGTTTTTCTTCAAAATAAAGTTGTTCGCATAAAAAGGGATGACAGATAAATCACACTGATATTTGTTAGCTGAATTCCTCTCTTGTACTGCCAACCCATCTCCACTTCTCAGCTGTTTTATTCTAGACGTTCTCTTATGTTCTAAATACATCGGCAAGGCCCAAGGTAGCCTTAATGAGAGAATAATTTGACAGCTCCTGTCTTTGTTTCTGTAATTTGGCAAAAAATGTGTGTTGTGCATGAGGCAGGCTACAATAATATTGAGCTATTTGCTTTTAATGCAAAAAAAGTCTGGAAGAGAGAAAAATCTACCAAAAACCAAACCTTTTACCTGCTGTTCTGAATCATTTTGCTGGTTGCTTTTTCAGTGAACTGCAATCTGATTTTTTTTTTTTTTTTCCTGCTTAATCCGCATCACGGAAGCGTTTGTTTTGATTTACATGCATAACTGCTTAATTGTCTCAACAGGGAGTCTGCTTTACCTATTGCTGGTTTTGGTAAAATCCCTCCATAAGTTCATTTAACTGTATTTGTCTTCTGAACATGCATCTGTTTTTCTTTGTCATTGATGGATCAGGCTCAAATTGTTATGGTGCTGCTAACCTAAGTCCTACAGCCACGTTGCCTCTGTGTCAAGAACAATCTTACTCGTCGCATTGTAAAGCTCTTGTATGTTTTGTCGTACTAAGTTTCTCTTTGCCAGTGCATTTAACTGTCCTCCCTTAAATAAGGTGACCAAAATAAAGTTACTTGACAGTGTGCACTGTCAAGCAACTTGACAGTGATTTTGTGAAGTATTGATTAAAAAGTGATTGGATCTGTATGATTAATTTATCCAGATGTTAAGAAACATTTTGTTGGCTGCTTTCACTGCTACTGTATGCCGAACTGTATGTGTAGCTATTAATTCCCTCAATCTACGTGTTACTTTTCTCTGACTTTTTAAAAAAAAAAAAAAAATCAATATTAAAATGCCGGAGCACTAAATGTATCTTACAGTGTTACTTTACTTTTAGCTTTATGGCATTTTACGTCTGTCTCTGAACCCTTTGTCTGATCTATCAAACAATTCCATAAAGAGCTACATCCTCGCTATGTCTTTTCTTGGGTCTAAGGTGGGCCTCTTTTTTTTTTTCCCCTTTCCTTGGCTTGTCTCTTCTGCCTTAAGGACTCCATCAAATTTGACTGCTTCCAAGCTGACAGGTCCTTCCTCACAGGGTAAAGGCAGTGTTGGCGATGAGAGAAATTCTGCTAACAAATATTATCGGTAAGTAAATTGTGGACCTGGAGTAGAAGCTGGCTCATCATCATGCGGAAATACTGAAATTTAAGGTGTTGGGTTTTTTTTTTTTTTTTTAAAGTTACGAGTGCTCTTTAAGTATCAATATTGACTTAAATACTTCAAATATATTTTAATCATATATTTGTTAAGTATGGTTCAATAAGGTATTCTTTCTTAATTATTCTTCCATATTTAATTTGATTTTTGACATTTCAAAAAGCCTGTCGTTAAACGCTCCATATGTAATCATTTCCTCAGAAACACTCTGAAGAACAATATGTTAGACTTCATAACAAAATAAGGCTTGTGAAATGTAGAGTAAATCTAGAAGAATTATATTTGGAGGTTGAAAAGAAACAGCAGGTAGGACTAAATAATTAAGAGATGGAAGGCAGGAATGAATAAAGCCTGTAAACAAGAAGTATTGAATTTGGGATAGTTAAAGCAGACTTACTGGGTTGACTGGATTACTAGAGGCTTTCTGCTTTGTTCTTTCGGTCCTCAGTTGAGAATTTTGATACCTAGCCGATGGCGAATCTTTCTCGGTCTACGGTCTGTAGCTTACTGATTGAAACAGTAGATGCTCTTGGCTCGTTCCCTACGTGTATATTCTGAAAACATGGTTTAACATCGAGCAGCGAGGCCCTTTAAGGTGTTGAGCGTTCCTACAGAGTTGGTTTTGGTTTAAACAACCCATCTGCTTTTTCCTAGTGCTCCTAGCTGTGCTCCCACAGGGCAAGGCTCAGCCCATTTATGTAGTGGCTTAGGGAACTGATCTAGTGACAAAGCAAAGATTGTCTGGCCTAGCCTAAGGTGTAGGTGTGAAATGCTGTGCCTCAGGTCTGGGACAAGAGGGAGAAAGAGAGTGATGTTAAATTCTTTATGAAACCATAGCTGGTGTGCCTGCTGCTCTTCTCCACTTGGAAAATACAGGAAGCTCCTGCACAAGCAGGACGCTGTGTGTGCTGAAAACCCGCTAAGTGGGAATGGTGGAAAGGGAGAAGTTGGCACACGTAGCTTGCAGCGTGCTGCATTTTTTCATGTAGGCAAATCCCTGTAAAACGGGATAAAGTTATCGTTTGTGAGGAACTCGTTATGTTTTGGCTCCCCCGCAATGATAATTCAAATACTTGAGTGTTCAGAGTAGGACAGAAGATAGACAGCTTAAGCTCTAGCTTTCTGATTGTGTGTCCGGCTTTTCAGTTTGATGGGTCTCATGGGTGCTGTCATGGGCTGTGAAGTTTCTCCTGTTAAACTCTCCAGTTTCTTCTTGGGTGGTCGTGTCTGTTTTCCTGATAATGATTCTGGAGGCCACTGTCACAAGCTTCACTTGTTTATGTGTATGCTCTGGATGGCTGTTAACAGTGGTTTGATAATGACAATAGTCTGGGTTATTTTTTTTAACGCCTTTTTTTTTTTTTTCTTACATAGTAACAAAAGATCAGCCCAAGGGGATCGTTTATCAGCAATAACCATGGCATTGCAATATGGATCAGAAAGCGATGAGGATGCGGCTTTGGCTGGTAGGAACTGAAATGCCGTTTGGGGTTGCTCCCCCCGCCCTTTAATTAAAATGTTTGGAATAAGCAGAATAAGCAAAGATATCTGGCCAGATATCTTTGTTTTCTTTTCAAAAATATTCTGCAGTGTTTCAAAACTCAGTGTAAAATTCTGTTACCTCTGGTCCCGGTTTACGTATGAATTTGTAAATGTACAGCTGATAAAATAGGATAGGACAAATTTCCTCAATTGTTTTGAATTTATGGTGTATGTTTCCAACTATGCTTGTCCAAGCTTTGGGAACCTGTTGCTTGTTTTTATTCCTTATTATATGAAATGGAAAAGGAGACGTAGGTTGCTCCTTGTAGTAAAAAGAGACTTACTGCAATTGTTTGAGAGGGATCTCATTTGAGCTTGCTCGCTCTCGGTTCCTCTCTTGTGTGCTATTAGATCTTATAAGTACCTGGCAGGTTTTATGTTTTAAGGTCAAAAACAATCTGTATGAGGTGTGAAGATAGGCCAGAGCAACTGTTTCTAAATTAAGTTCTAATACTTCTCTAACAGTCATGAAATCTTGCATGAAGATGTTAAAACAAAAGCATGTGTAACGCATGCCTTCATACAGCATCCTTAGTTCCATAATAAGCATGCTTTGGCATTATAGTATGAGCACGTATCTTGCATTATACTAGATATTTCAGTGTACGTTGGTTGAAAGCTGTTGCAAGTTGCCTTCTAAATAGGGCTTTTGTGATGGTTGTATTCTCATAACATTCTTGCGTACATGTCGGAAACATTTCATACGTATAGCGTATGCTTTTTGTTGAAATTATTTTTGTGTTCATGTGAAACTAGACGTCTCTTCAATATGTATTTTTGGGCTATTTATTTCACATCCGGTAATTAATTTTGCTCACCATTGTCTTCCAGTGGATGGAACGTATGCTGCATAATTTTGAAATGTTTTACATCTTGCTGTGAGCAAACATATTTTTATTCCTGGGTAGCTCAGACTTCCGTTATGGCATCAGAGCAGCTACTTTCTTGGGAGGTGTGGGAAGTACTTATTAGCTTGGTTCAGCATGTTTGTTAGCTGCTGTTTTTGCACACTGTAATTCTGTCAAAACACATAGCTTTTTAAAATGTCTTTGTGTGATTAAATTCTTGAAGTGATTTAACCACTTTCAGGTGCCACCTTTGCCATGGACGTTATTGTCATTGTGACAAGGCTTTTGGTAGGCAGCTGAGATTTTTGACCTGTTGGCAGACTTCTGTCACCCTTAAGATTTTCTATCCCGCTGATACACTGCTTGGATTTCGCACTGTTTTCAATCGCCAGATGAGATGGATTTTCGTTTAAACCAAGTAGTCCTTTAGTTAGTGTGGTGTTTCTCTCTCTCTTTTTTTCCTCTTTCCCCTAACACTCATTCAAATAAATGAGAACTGGGCTGCATAACTGAACATTAAGAGAGCTTCCACCTTCTGGTTACAGAGAACATGTATCCGTCTTTGTGAGCTTCTTTGATTGCAGCAGTTGCCTATGCAATGAACAAAATCTATTTTCAACTCGGAGGTTATCCCTCATGGTTTTAGAGGGTGTCACGGTATGGTGGAGCTTGTTGGGGGTTTCCAGCTCAAACGTACTATGACCTGAGGAGCTTTTGCAGCTTTCTTGCAAGTTATCCTTGCTGTAAGTCTGTAACGGTAGGCATAAAAGGTCGTTATGTATTATTTATAAATAGGTATTTCATTTTTCAAGAACAAAAAACCGGATGCTGGTTTTGGCAAGGTTGTACTTGAAGCTGTCCAGTGAGGCTTTGAGCATCTGTTGTTGTCTAGGCGCTTTGGGACCACAAAGGAGAGGCGGCATTTGAAACAAATTGCTTGCTGAGTAAGGACCGATTTTTTTCAGATACGTTCATATACTTCCCACGCACTGCTGCTTTCCTGCCCCATGATTGTGTAAGAGTATACGTACGTGCTAAGTCCATCTGTATCTGGTAATATAGCTCAGTTCCAGTTGTACAGTAAAGGACTTCCTCCTTTTGCAGTAAAGTCAATTTAACATCACTTCATCATGAAGCTGTCCCTACATTGGGAAACAGTCACGGTGTAGTGGGGTGAATTGTGGGAAATATATTTTGTTTGAGACTGTTGAACGGCGTATGTTTTGTGGTTGCGGTTAACCACATATGTTTTTTCCATACCTGCTAACTGTAGATATGGTAACAGCTGCGTTCAAGGAGAATAACTGACTGTTACTCTGCTGCTAGCTGCTTCGTGATGGGGTACGCGAGACCTGGGGCTACTGACTGTTAAAGAATCCGCCTCCTTGCAGTAGGATGTTGCCTCTCTGTCTTTCTGCTGATTTGAATAATACGTTCTTCTTCAGTTCTTGAGATAACAGGTCTTATGTTAGAAGGACATTATCATTTTCTGAGTATGTAAGAATAAATATTGGTTGGCAAATCACTTTTAAAGAAAATACACCCTATAATGTTTTTACCTGTATTATGGTATTACATAAACGCTTTCCTTCTAGTGTCTATTTGTTTAGATTTTATTTTGGGGGAATGTCTTGTATTCCATGTTTAAATTTAATAAAAAGGAAGTACATTTCTTATTTAGGGAATCGAGCTGCTTGCATACAGTACATTTCTTTAGACTTAATTCACTTTACTAGTTTTTTTTTTCCCTCTCTCTAGTAAAAACATGTTGTTCTGCTTTTTCATTTTCTGTCTTTTAATTTTCAGTAGACCAGTCAGATCTGAACTTTTTGAGTCAACAGAAACAAAGACTATTTTATTGCATAATCTATTTTGGAAAATTACTTTACCTGATTAGTGTTCTCTTGCCCGTTAACATTTATTTCCAAATGTTGCCTGATGTGCTAGGTGCAGGAAAACGTAGTGCTACTTCCAGTCTTTTGTTTCTACCTGGGTTATTGTCCAGCTCCTACTTTGCAGGCTACCGTGTAGTAGACATCAGCATGTTATATGATGCTGTGTGGTATGCAGGCATATCTTTAGGATAACTTTGACCATATCTGTAATGCATTTGCATGTCTACTGAGGTCTGCGTGTCGCTTAGGTTGCATCTAATTTAGCTTGCATCTAACTTGCCTGGTAGGCTTCATACACTCACGTGGATCTGCAGCGTCAGATTGCAGAGGAAAAATAGTACTGTGTTGTTATGTGGTCAGAATGTCCTTGGCTTGTCATCATTTCAATACATCCTTACTGAGCTTGGGCAGAAAACTCGAAACATTACCAGCCTCTCCTGAGCGGTAATGAAAATGCTAACCGGAAATTTGGCAGGCGTGTTAGAGAACTGACTTGTGTGTAACTGAATTATCCAGCGTGTCATCTACCAGCTTTCCTTCAAACTGTAAATCGTAAGAGGGGAGAAGAGGTGGATGTAATTATAATATTAATCTGCACAAAAGTGCATACACTTCTATGTTGTGCCTGTCTGTTGTGTCACTGAGAAGAGTTGAAGGGTTGGCCGTTTGTTCCTTCCCGTTCGGTACTGCTGCTACCAGAGATTTTTCATTCCTTCTGTGTTTCTGGTCGTGTCATGTTTCTCCTACTTTTACTTGCAGTAAATGTTATTTCTTCGTAGCACCTCTTTCATTGATCCTATTCGTGAAGAATAATATCTTTCTTATGAATAGGTGGAAAAGTCGGCTATAAAATCTGTATGTTATTTATTATAAAATTAATTTATAAATTATTTACTGTTTATAACATTAAAAAAGTTATAATAAACAAATATTTATTTCTCCTTCCTTTTGCTGCATATTAGAGGTGGACTTTTCAGGCTGTAGTCTCATTTTTTTTCTGCTAAGAAGAACTGCAGTATGGTTAATGTGATTTAAAGGATTATAGATGTTTTAAAGTCACCTTTTATATATATTTAAGCACAAATTAATTTTTAATTCAACCATTTTATTTAACTTGCTGAGCATTTTTTGAAAACTCCACTCATGATTTATCAGTTCCTGCTCTTGGAGTGAACTCCCAGTAAGATGGCAGAATGGCAGTATTTTGCTGTACAAATGTTTCTGGTATTTGCTACAAATACTAGGTAAATAAGGAGATGGGTGTTTTACAGAAAGCGTGTGTTTAAGTAGTCCTGTTGAGTAGCCTCATCCATGAACGCTTCTCAGCACTTCTGTGTGTAGGTGGTAAGGATGTACGATACCAATGACTGAAGTCTCATCTGACAAGAAAGCGTGCAACCTAGATAAAGTGCTTTTTTGCCAGCTTGAGGCTACTGAGACACAGCTGTTTGAGATGTCCTTTTCCGAGATACGAATCTGACTATCCGAGAGAGTGGTTGAGCTCCCTCATCTGAGGGGACTGCATTTTGTGCTGTTTAGTTCTTTTGGGCGTTTGAAAAGTCGGACGGAAAAACCCCACTCTGGCTTGTCCTGCTGAGAGTTTCCCATTTTTCCTTTCTTTCTTGCAGCTGCTGCTCGTTATGAAGAAGGAGAATCTGAAGCTGAGAGCATTACTTCCTTCATGGACACTTCTAATCCTCTCTATCAGCTTTATGATACAGTTAGAAGTTGCCGAAATAATCAGGGCCAGCTCATATCGGAACCCTTTTTCCATTTGCCCTCCAAGAAAAAGTATCCTGATTATTACCAGCAAATTAAAACACCCATTTCATTGCAGCAGATCAGGTAAGAAAACAGAACGCAAACTACGTTTGGTGGGAGACTGTCCAAGGGTTTCTTTCCCTTCCAGAATCCCATGCAGTATATGTTATCTTTCCTGTATTCTTTGTTGCTTCTAGTTTCAAGTTAGTCTACAGCAGTCTTCTCATCCACTTTTGTAGGTGGCTGTCATCGGGTTTACAATCCTCGGCGTTTCATTTGTAAGGTGTCTGAATGGTTGTCGTATCAATAATTCTGAAGGCTAGATGGGCAGCAGAGGTGAAGCTTCTGCAAAGCCCTACGTTATTCTCTTTCCTTGACCGTGATAACTAAGTTATTTGTTTATTGCCCTATTTGATAAATTAGTTGTCTTCAGCAATATGCATCCTGGAAAGATTGTTGTGATTATGTTCCCTTTTTTTTCTAGGTCACAGTTTAACTTTGGAGAATAATTATTGTTATTCAGGATGTAGCTGGTCTGCAGTGAAGTGCTAAAGCACTGTTCATAAAATCACTGTTCATAAATCTATGAACTATCAAAGATTCATCAACTGCCAGAAGGCATTTGTTAGATAAACAATCTAACAAATTGAGCAGCGAGCAATATCTTTATTTAGTGAGCAGCGAGCAATAGCTTTATTTAGTGATACAAGATAAGCTAATCCATTGGAGCTACTTGTCAGAGCCCTGAGCGCGTTTAATAGGCCTTAGTGACCCAGACCAGACTCAACCTGAGGTCTCCACCGACACCCCATGTCTGTTAAAACTTCTTCCTTTAGAAAAAACTGCACTATTAGCCCATTGCCTAAATGATGTTGGAAACAAAGTCTGTAGGAGAGGCCATGTCAGTGCTTGGTAGAGCAGCGGTCCTGCTTTAATTGCAGTTGGAAGGTCCTGTTTGCCTGAGTGGGTGAGGATCAGGCTTTAATACAATTAACGTGTCCGTAACGCGCTGTAATACCTAGTTCTGTGAATTTCAGTTACGCCGTAATAGGATCTGCTCAGCTTGGTGTAATTGTGGAATAAGCAGTGCCTTTGTTAAACCAGACTGCAGCAAAGCTTAGTTCTTACCTATCTGAGGGTTTTATGCGTGTGCTCGGGAGCAAATAATGTAAATGCCACGCTGATTATCGTCAGTAACTTTAAAACTTGTTTTTCTGACATGTTTCGGTACAACTGTTGGTTTGCCAAAGTGTCCTTTATTGAAAGAAGCACAAAATGTATTTGATGGGAAAAAAGATGAAAGCATTGCCAGTTTTCAGGGAGCTTCTGGTCTGGACGCAGCAAAGGGTGTCAACTCCAAAATGTACATACAGATTTAATTGGGAGGCCTTCCTTTGAAAATATACTTGATACCAATCATAAGACAGATCGTTTGCCATGGGGAGGCCGCTGGGTTTCTACTCCTTTTATAAAATAGGCAGGGTAGTACAGGAATGGCATTCAAATACATAAAGCACATTAGAAAAAGATGACTTTTCTCCCTCCCTGAGGGCTTAGAAAATAGAAGAGGATAGGCAGTCTTTTTAAAAATACTGTTTGTAGCTCATAGGTTAAAGTACAGTATGTGTAATGGTCTGCCTTGTTTTAGCAAAATCTAAAACTGAGTTACTGTTTAAATCGCCGTGTAATCGTCACCTTTTATTATGACTAAAAAGCCTTTGAATCATGCATATGTGTGTTTAATTGATGTATTTTGGGGAAATCTGAAGCACACGTGGTTTTACTGATATTTCAAGCGTGTCCTTAGGTATTTGGAAGGTTGCTATTCATTAGTGTGTGTGTCGGTGCGGAGGGTCGGTTGTTTTCTGAAGTACACGTGCGAAGAGCGTATCTTCTGTTCACAGATGGAGACGGAAAAGTTAAGTGTCCTAGTGAAAAGCTGAAGGTGGTAGAGTCGAGCCTGGAACTCCAGAGTCCTCTCTGTGTCTGCTTGGGCAGCTGCATGGCTAGGTTATACCGTCAGCGTGAGCCGCGAGATGTGTGGCCAAACCTTCTCTTCTAACTCCGCTTCCTTTTCTCTCTTTCCCCTACCTCTACCTCTCCCCTCAGTCTGGCTGTCTTCCTAAATTTTACAGCCAGTCGTGTATCTCGGGGATTTGTGTGTGGTTAAATGCAGAAAAACTCTTAAAAAATAATTAAAGATTACTAAAGGCATTTGGGTTTTAATGAGATGTTCGTTATATCTATCCCAGCGTCTCCATCGCTTTGAGCGTTATGAACCTCCGTCACTTGGGTTGAGTGCTGATTCCAGACTGTTTGTGGACGTGGGAGGTAATCCTGCAGATGGTGATAGTTTCCCGCTAGTTTCGTCCTGACTTGCTCTTTTGGAAAGCTGTGCTTGTGTCCTCTTCAGAAGAGAGTCTTAGTTTGGTACCGAGGTGCCATAGGTGGAGGAAGGCGTTTTCTGTTCAAACCACTTTCAGCAGCGTGGAGGGACAGGTGCAAACAAATCAAATGGGACAAAAGACAGAGCACGGAGGAAAAAAAAGTTCCCTTTAAAAGGAGAGACGTGACGCTCTGGAGGATCTGACTTTTACGTGTGGTTAAAGTGCATGGTGCGGAGGTTACTTTGTGAACTTAACGTTGTGGGCTCAGTGTCATGCTGTCATTAAGTGACTGGAGGAGTAGTCAGGAAATAAGGTAGGAACACACAAAATGTGCCCCGTTATCCAATACGTAAGTGCTAGGTCCCTGGCTTGCTTACAAGAACTGCTCTTTTTATTAAATTGTACAGAATGATTAAGCATGGTCCTTAAGTGACTGATCTACAGCAGAGATGGGAGGAGCTCCAGGGAAATCCAGGAGACAGCAATTTTCTCCTAATTCCCACAGGAGAGGAGGTGGTGGTGGTGGTGGTGATGGGGCATGGAAAGCGTCATCTTTTTTTTTAAACATGCCCGTGTCTTATGCTCCAGGATGCTGGGGTTATAGCTGAGGTGAAGAAAATTGTGGATCTAGCATAAACCGCTGGGGCTAGTTTTGTGTGATGTCCACCATTGGAGGATTTTAAATATCCTTTTCTTGCGAACGTATATCCTAGGGCATCTACCTGTGGCACAATCTAAACTTTACGTTGCAGCGCAGCACAGTGTGCTGAAGTTCTCCTGTAACTCTGATTTGTGGTAGCTCTTGTTGCCTTTACGTTAATTATTCAAGCAGAATTTAAAATAATTATGATCATCTGGTCAAGCCTATTTTGCCTTATAATTTAAATACTTCTAGTAATACAGCAAATAAAGTGGAACTTATCTTGAAATAGTGGAGATTGCTGTCGGGGTTAAAATCTGAATGCTTTATGTAGCAAACGCTTTTTTTTAGAACAGATTGCGCTCTTGGCAAATTAACTTCTTAATAAAATCTTAACTTAAAAGTTAATTTGTCATTATTACATTGATTTTGAGAAAATAATGTCACTCTATTAGAGTTTGCTAATTTATGAATGCGCCAACTGGGAAAATAGCCCCTGGAGAGAAAATTGTTGTTTTATAAGATGTGTTGAATATTGCACCTTTTTGTAATCCTCTGACCGTATAGACGTTTTTCCTACCTTAGCAAATATTCCTAATGCATGCATACATGTGGTCCTCATAAAATCACAGGTTCAAGTTAAACAAGGTTACGAAAGTACCTGATAAAGAGGAGACTGTCATTCTTAAATTGGGCGTTTGTCAAATGCCTTTCTTCTCTACCTGCGTTCTCTGTTTCTGTGTTGGGTGGGGTTTGGTTTGGTTTTCCAAGGAGATTGAAGTAGCGCTGCACAATTGCTGAGTAAGAAGGAATCGGTTACATGCTAATTGTTTCTAGCCAAGCATTCAAATATTTTTTTCGGAGAATTACTTAAACATAGTGCATGTGTAGTAGAATGGGTCTTTAGATTATATGGAGAGAGTTCCTCTTTGTTCTTTGGCTTTGTCTTTCACAAGGAAAGCCTGTTCAGTTACCAGTAGACCTTTGAGCCGAGTGCCAACTTGTTATATGCGGGTTTTTTTAATTATTATGATTTTGACCAAATGAAGCGTCATGACAGTGTTGTGTTGGGCTTAGTGGCTTTATGAAGCTGTCACCTAATTTCTATACTAATTTTTACTCATTTTGGAAAGGCCTTTGTGTTTAAAAGGATGTTCTTTCAAATTTTTGATTTATGCTTTCAGATTCTCCTTGGAGCTCTTGAACTTAGAAAGGATGAAAAAATTGCACTTTTCTTTTTTAAGCTCATTTTTGGAAATCATACCATTGTATCACCATCAGTCATTTCATAGAAATTTTTCATGTTTTCTGGTGTATAAAGTTAACGTAGTTTATAGTACGTTGGCTGTCACTTGCTGCTGAACAGAGCTGGGTGTTTGCTTAGCTTTAACCTCACTTTGCAAAATAAACTACTCTTTATAAAATTTTCCTTCCCCAGATTGCTGAGATGGCGTTTTTGTTTTAATTTCTGTTGAAGCTGCATTGCATCCTGTAAATCCAGAGAGCGCATGATGCTTGAGGTCTGCTGAGTTTGAGTATAATTAAACTTGCTCAAAGTATTTCCATGAATAACCTTCTTAATTAATCATCCCGTTGTTTGCTGACAGCGAGTGCATTTAATAGGATGATGAGGTGGGAGGCTATTTGCAGACTATAACAGGGTTACTTTTGTGCCTATTTGTTGTTCGTTGCTCATGTGCGTGGCTGAAAGCTGCCTATCTTTCCAAACCATTTAGGTGGGCTCCGTCTTGATTTTACTCGTGTTGTCAGGTCTTTCGTGAATTCAGCTATGAATGTGCTTGAAATCAGGTGGGCTGCACCTCACTTTTGTGGCTTTGGGTAAACAAATGCTAAAAGAGGCAAGATTTTCTATTTGCTTGAAAGATCATTTGGATGCTAGTTCATCCTTCCTCTTCTGAGAAAGCGTTTCCTCTTCCTCTTGCCTTCTGGCTCTAGGTTAAGACTTCATGGATATAATTAAGTTGCTTTCTTTTCCCCTTGTGAGCTACTGTCAGGGTCCTCATCTCAGCTTCTCCCTCAGCTTAAAGATTCTACCGGGTCGCGAGCGAGAAGAGAATCCATGCGCGTAGGTGGTGTGTTTAAGACTGATGGCTATTTCGTATGGTTTTCTACTTTTTGTTGCTTCCAGATAAGACTGCCGCGTTGTAATGCGCATAGGTCAATGCCTAAATCCCCACGGATGAAGCTAGTGTGGGTTACTGGGGCATGCAGAGTAAGCAGTATATTTTTAGCCGCAGCATGTAATAGCAGCGTTGTGGAGTCTGCACGAGCTACCTCATTGTCACTGGGAGGGGGAGTAAAACAAATCCCAGGTTTAAGCGTCCAGTGAAGAGGCACTGATTTCTTTTGCCACAGCATGAAGTCATTGTACCGGACCAATTTAGAATCCCCTTCTTACACAAAGAAAATGGTTGCTGGGCGGCATATGCTCTAGGAAGCTCTGCTGCCTCGTTTGCTTTGCTAGCAGCTTGCTTTGAACCTGTTCTACTTCAGAGGATATGGCAAAGGCCTCTCCCTCCCCCCAATTTGGCAAGACTGGCACCTAAGCGTGCAGAACGTGGTCGAGCAGAAATCAGGATATGTTACATGCTGCCAGTGTTGCTTCATAAGTTAAATGTGGTAAGGACATAGAGTTTGTGCATTGGCTTTAATATCACCGGAGGGTTTTCCTTTATGTTGAGGTTTTTTTTGTCAGTGTGATCCTTCTGGGCATGGCTTTTTTTATATACTGAGGTACAGGCAGTTTTAAGTTTTGTACGCAACTCCAACAAAGAGTAGATAGTGGTGAGAAGTAATTTGACTTGAAAAAGTGATACTTCAGTGAACGTGTAGCCCTTCAGGTTTCTCTTTCAAAAAGCTGAACCAAAACCTCATGCAACACAGTGATCAAAACGCAAACTTGCAGTTCTGTAATTCCAGTTTATTAAATTAATTGGGAGACGCGAGAATGTTACAGGTTTTGCTCTTCCTGCCATTCCATCTCTGAAAACTCGTCTCTGGAAGAGGGCGAGCATGGCATGCCAGCGTTGCACACGAATGTTTATGAACTGCATGCTACTAACATTCAAGCAAAACTTGAACTAGTTGATTCAGCAAAGAGTTGGAAGGCGTTAACGTTGCGTGCCCACGTGCTTGCTTTCAAGATAAGCTGCAGAATTAGCCTTGAAAGGACTTTGTCCTAACACTCTGGCTGTAATTGTTGAAGCATGATTATCTTCCCTCCAACAGTTGCCTTCAGCAGTAAAAAGCATTGAGACGTTTTAGGTATTTGACTTGGGTATGCTTACTTGCCGCTCATCTCTTGGGCAGTCCTGATGGTCTTCATTTGGTTAGATCCTTAATTAGAGCCTAATGCTGCCTGTCAATCAATATCGGTTGTCCCTCGTGTCTGAGAAAGGAGATCGCCCGTAAACAAAACCTTCGGGTGCCGTCTGCATCCAAGGGGAGCAAAAAATCTGTCTGTCAGCATCTCCCTCCAGTGGTGCTCCTTAGCTGTTTTCCCCGCAGGACTTATCTTTCAAACGAAAGGATATGTGCTTGTTTACGTATTTGATTGCCCTATGTGTCCCAACGGATTAGAGTGTTCTTAAATCATTCTCTTTAGGGAAAAAACCCACACTTTTGTCGTCTTTGATAAAACAGGGCTTCTGGTGGGGTTTTTTGGTGCAAGTTTCTATATGCCTTTCTGTGCCGCGTTGTCTCGCCTTTCAAACACCAGCAAGTTCTTGTGTTGTGAGTAAATGTTATCCTGAGCTTCACAGGGTGCAAACGGAGGCTGACTTTGGTGTGTGGCGTTTTAACTGGCACTAAAACGTTGTGGTGGTGGTTGCTTTTTGTTGTTCGCTAAGCTGTAACGAAAATTATCGTGGTAGCTCCCCTCTTTTGGAAAGGCGGTGAGGGAAGCTGAACAGGAAAACCCTTCGACAATCTCTTGCTGCTGTTGAAAGTATGAATTAGAAAATAATATATAGATACCAGCAAGATACAGACACCCTAAAGTCTTAACAGGGTGTATTGACCTAAAGTGACGAATTTTAATTGAGAATGACAAGTAGTTTTCTTCCCATCTTATGATGTGGATTCTTCAGAATTGTTTTTTATTTTTCTTGTAGACGTTGAGGAAATAGTAGTGCTTCAAATCCAAGAGAAAAATTAGAAATATTTCACGTTTGAGTAAGGAGCCTGCAGCTGGTAACATGCACTTAGTTGGATGTTTCCTGGAAAAGGCTTTGATAAAAGTTGTCATGAAGCATACGTTCACTTCTCAGTAAATTTTATAAGAGTTGTAGCTCTGCGCCTTGTTGAATCGAGCTGCGACTTCCTCACCCTTGGCTGACCGGTGAAGAGTCTTGTTTAGCAGAAGGTGAATGGAGTAGTTGTTACTCTCCGTTTGCCAGTTCAGCTGTAAGGCCAGATGGGAGGGTACGGTTGGCAATTAAAAGCTGTTACATTTATTTTGTGCTGGTGCTTATGCCCAACTGGTCAGGTTTGCGTTTTGCTCGGTGCTGCAGAAACGAAATAGGAGGGTCCCTCTCCCAAGAGCTCGCCGGTGAAAGCGCGGCACGCAGCGGGTGGATGCAGCCGGCGGAGAGGCTGGGAAGGGGGTGCGAGGGCGGAGGTGTAATGAAAATAGCAGGGAGCGTTTGAATCCTAAGGAGTCAGCGGGAGTAAAGCACGACTTGCCTGCCTTGCAGTTTTTAAGTTGCCAGAGTGTTTTGCACGTTGCTATTTTCTGTTGTGTTTTGATGAGGGCTTGGAAGGTTTAAGAACATTAACTAGAACTTTTATGACTTGTATAAGGAAACATGAGAGACCGTATCAAGTTACTGGTAAAGTTGGTGCACTCTGATTCATCTCTGGTTAGCATATGAAAAACAAATTTTTTGTTGTTAGTCCTTTTCTAACTGATTTCCCATGAAGGACTGCTGCGTGAGGCACCAGTCAACAGCCAGATGGTTTTAACAGAAGACCAAAATTGAAGGGTCTTAACACGAGAGGTGTTGGGCGCTTTCAGTTCTCGTCGGGGATGGCGGGAATCGGGGTTGCGTAGGAAGGCAGAGCTCACGACTGTATGGAGCTAACGCATCCCGTTAACGCCTTACGCAGTCCCTATAGATCACAGCTGAGGTGCGCCGGAGCAGTCTCAGAAAGTTGTGCCTCTGCCTCCTCTGTGTCACGTCTCACCTGTGTACGGAAGTAGGACTTAAGTCTGCACACCTTTCGAGAGGGCAGCTTTCATAATTGCTAAGACCTCTTTAAAAAGAGATGTTTACCGAATATAGTTACCAGATAAGCATCAGAAAAATATAACACGTTACTGTAATCACAGCTCTTTGGATATTGATTAACTTCTTCATTTCTTATGGTAAAAGAGCTGTTTTGCAGCACGTAGCGCGTATGGACTAACTGATTTGTATTTGTTTCTTCCACAGAACCAAACTGAAGAACCATGAATATGAAACTCTAGATCAGCTGGAGAGCGATCTGAACCTGATGTTTGAAAACGCTAAGCGCTACAATGTTCCCAACTCTGCCATCTATAAGAGAGTGCTGAAAATGCAGCAGGTTATGCAGGTACAGGGAGTGGAACAATCAAAAGGATATAGCTTCATGTGTGAATTTCTTTCCTCAATCGGTGTCTTTCCAAAATAATTTCTAGCTAAACTTGTATTTGCGCTGGTATTTTTTTTTTGGGTTGTGAGTAACTTACTGACAGTGTCTTGTGTGTTTAGTAGTGTCATTTAATGGTTAAATAGTAGTCTGAAAATTGTTTCCAGAGGTAGTTGATGACCGGCGTTTAGGAAGTACGCCAATGAAGAGCATAGGGTGATTTGTGTTTTGTTTTGTTTTCTCCTCTCAGTACAGCTGCCGCCTTCTGTGATTTCTCTTAGTCACTTTTATATGTAACCAAGTCTTAGTCCAATTAAGTTGTGAAAAAATTGATAAGAGTGGGAGTTTTTTGAGTTTACAGGTAAATGCAGGTAATTGGACAATGCTAAGACTCTTCAAATGTCCTAAAGCGTTCCAGCAAAGAGCTGCAGTCGGAAATGGTGTTATTTTCAAATTGATTCTTCACAAATAAGTTTATGGTAGTTAAAAAGAACGATACCACTTTTTTATATTGGCCAACTTGCATTAGATACATCACTGGAAGTATTTTGATGCTGTTTTATACATCCAAAACCCACAGTTGCATCCTCCTCTGTGCATCTGATTTGTGCTGATGATTAATATTATTCTGGGAAAGTTCAGGAGAGTATCTGACTTTAGGGATTTGCTCTTACATCAGGCAAAGAAGAAGGAGCTTGCTAGGAGAGATGACATTGAGGATGGGGACAGCATGATTTCTTCTGCTACATCTGATACTGGAAGCTCAAAAAGGAAAAGGTGTGTACTTTTGCAGTTCCCGTAGACCATGGCATTGTTGCCTCTTTTATTTGTTAAAGAGAATATTAAGCCATGTTTTGGTACTCATATAGCAGTTTGTAACTCCTTAACTGTTGGTTTGAACTCATTATAAACTATTTGCTGACTTTATTTTCCTTTTTTGGCCCACTAATTGGTGGTTATTGAGATCAGTTCAGTAAGTGTCCTGGGCACTGTAGTAGCACTGAATTCTGTAACTTTTTAAAATGAATTTCAGGATTTTGGGGAGGGGGAAGGGGTCATCTAATATGTGAACTGTCTTCACAGGTTGCTAGCAGTTATGTTTTTTTTCTTCCACTTCTCCAATGTATGAGGACTACTGTTATTTTTTCAAGATGTAATTAAAATTAGTTTTATAGTTGAATTCATCTTTTGAAATTTTATAATATTGCTTCTACAAATATTTTTGTTGGGTGAAGTCTCCTGACATTAATTTTTTTTTCTTCTTCCATGACCTGAATTACCTGAGGAGCTAGTGTCAGAGGACTACTCTCTCCCTTCTGAATTTGCACTTTTAAGTCACTTATCTGTAAGCAGCTAGGCCAAAGAGGATGCTTAGCAAAGAGATGAACTGAAGATGATAAGCTGATTATTCCAGATAGTGTAGCATAAACAGAAATCTCAGTACTGAAAAATGCACTGTTTTAGTGAGCCCTTATGATGGTTTATGGAATGCGTTCTTTAACAGTGATAGCTTCAATCTAAGTGATCCTACTTTACTTCCACAGCTCTCTAGACTAGTTTCTCTAGTCTGCCCCATGGTATCACTCAAACTAAATTCCTGGCTTCTAGTAAAATGATTGCCGTAGTAGAAACCATTAGTGTAAAATTGTAATTCAGCATCTTTCGTCATTAGTGTTGCTTATGGCCTTCAGCCTTCTGGGTTTTTAGTTTTTTGTTTGATCAAAATGACAGCGGTTGAGGGGGAGGAGAGAGGTGAAATAAAGCATCAACAAGGATTTGTTTAAGAGCAATCAAGTCGGCACAGCAATGTACACTCATCAAAACTAGAAATTATGCAGAGAAAAAGTTAATAAGGGTACAGGAGATGATGCAATCTAGGGATGCTATTGAGGGGGGGGAAGAAAAAGTAGCAGAACTGTAAGACAGACCAAAGTACCAAATAAAAATAAGTAAGGAACCAATTGCAAGAACTGCTAGATTTTGTAATCTTCAGCATCAGGGAGAACTGCCAACCAAGTCAAGCAATTTAAATTGTTATCAGCATCATTTTAACTCTATACTGCTTCTGATCACCTTGTGCAAGAGAATACTGAAAAGCTTAAAAAAAACACCTATTAGGCCTTGTCATCTAACAACAATAAAAGAAGAAAAAGTTGTGTTCAGAGGAAAGGGAAATCGGTTTTTATTTTCCTCATACCTTAAGAGAACCTGAAAATGCTTATGACTTTATCAATTCAATGTTTACTTTCACTTAGCAAAGTGAAACTGATAACAAGCGAAGGATGATTGTAAAAGCTCTTGGTAGCAGAGGTGAAACACTGACAAAAATTTCAAAATGTTGCTGAAAAAGGAAACTAGTAACCCAGGGAAAATTCATCCCATTGGGAAGACAATCGTGTTTTCTCCTGATGCGGAAGAAAGCCCTTTGAATGTCCTCATTTCCGTATCAGATGCACGACTTGAGTCTTGAGTACTGATGTAGACTTTTTAGAATTTCTGCTTTATGTTTTTGCTTCGCTTTTGTTGCATGCCACGGTTATTTGAGTTGAGGTTATACGTTACTAAGACAAGCCGCCTTCTCCCATACCTGAGTTGTTTATAGATCTTGTAGGTATGTAGTGGGAGCAACACAACTCCATTTTTCTCCTAAGCTATGTTATCAGATATTTAAGACAGCTATAATTGCTACGCGTAGGACAACCATCACATTTGTGCTGATGGCATATACGTGACCGTTTTCTACTTGAATTTTGCAGGGTTGGTAAACTTTAGTGACTTTTTAATTTCATTTGAGTGTGGTTGGTGAATACTTAAGCAATTCAGACCCTTCTTTCTACTAAATTCTTGAGATTCTTGTTTTTCTTGTATCTGATATTGCAAAAGATTAGAAAGGCTCTGAGATAAATAGCTTGAGGCTTTGCTCTCAGTAGAGGTAGTCGGTGAAAGTGGTAGCCGAGGACTTTTCCCTGATGTTTGTGCTCGTTCTTGAGTTCTCAGAGTCAGATGTTCTGTCTTGACTGATCTATTTTCCTTGAAGCTGGGAGGTGCCTGGAGTTACTTTTGACAAGTAGTCGTTTGTTTTATCCTGTAAAACACTTAAAACTCAAAGTGAAGGAGAGAAATGGTATCTTAAAAATGGTTTCCGGTTTCTTTAAGAGGCTAATTGTTGTGATGTTGTCATTAGTTGTAAATTTATTTTGAGGGTCAGCAAAGCATGTGTTTCTACAGAATAGACTTAACGTTGAATTTTGTATGTGTGTTTAAAGGGTTTCAGTTGTTTTCTTATGGTAGGAAATAATGTTTTGATATTATTGATTTTAGTGTTGGAAGGGGGGGAAATAAGCCCCTGATGTTTATTCTTTTCTTTTTTATTCTTCCCTCTAACTTAACAGTAAAAAGAATATACGAAAACAACGAATGAAAATCTTATACAATGCAGTTCTGGAAGCTCGAGAACCAGGCACAGGCAGACGGCTCTGTGATCTGTTTATGGTTAAACCCTCCAAAAAGGACTATCCAGATTATTATAAAATTATCTTGGAGCCAATGGACTTAAAAATGATAGAGCACAACATCCGCAATGATAAGTATGCCGGGGAAGAAGCAATGATTGAAGATATGAAGCTCATGTTCCGAAATGCAAGGCATTATAATGAGGAAGGCTCCCAGGTACGGTTTTCATTATGCGGCTGCATTTCCTCCGTGCTTCATCGCAGATGAAAAAGTCATGTTAGGATATTGTAGCTTCGAGTATTACTCCCAGTATTTATGACAATTTTTTTTTGAGTTGTATAAGCATGTACAGGCAGCAAACTCCTTTATAATAGTAGGTCATTTATCTGCGAAGGTTAGATTTATTTCATGTTTGTTAAGCTTGTTTCTCCGGTACAAAGAATATCTACTGAATGTTTCCCAGTATGTTTAAAAAAAAAAAATTGATTATTAAATTCTCATTATTTAGCCTCAGTAAATCCCACGGAGGTAACTGTACTGTGAAGGGTCACCAAGCACTTTAGTTGGAGCTCAGAACCTCAGGGAAGGGATGCTTTAGTTGGAAAGAAACCAGCTTAATTATCGTGGAAATGGGGAGTACGAGAGACGAGACTAGAAAACCGGAGTTGTTCAGTCTAGCAAAAGGAGTCTGAAAGGAATATACTTTTCACTTACAAATATATTTTGAGGTAAATAACAAGAACATTAAAAGACAATATCTTTGTGAGGAAAAAGGGCATAAACGGCCATGAACCAACACACTTGAACAGTAGAACAGTGTTTTTCCGCCAGCGAGCATGAGGTATAATAGAGTGATGGTGAAAAACTTCTAGCTACTTCTAAGGAGGAACTTGATCAGCTAATTTGCAGGACTTTATGATGTGGTTGCCTGCACTGGGGTTGGATTTGAAGACTCAGGAGGACCGTTCTAGTCCTGTCTGCCTTGATGGATCTTGAGCAATAGCTCAAGATCTTTCATTGCTCAGCAGGAGGATTTGAGGAGGAAATTGAAAAGAGCTGAGCCTTGCCATTCTGTAACCTTTGGAAGAGAAATGCAGTTAAATGGATAACTTATTCAAGATGTATATCTCACCGATTTATTTTGTGCTCATCAGTTCTGCTTTTTTAATCAACTAATTAGTTTTGCGTTCAACTTTTTCAAACTAGCATTTAAATGCTTCTGGGGGGTCTAGTTCTAAACTAGCGTAACATACCTGTATTTGGTCATATCTTAGCCAACTGAGTGAATAGAAATTATGCTGAAATATGGATCCTAAAAATCTGACATCCACACGTATTTACGGATGGTGGTCAAAAGCTGGATGTGTTGGCCCTTTGAGGTTAGAAAAGAGAATCTGAAGGCCGTTTAGAAAAGAGTATACTTCAGGAGAGGTTGCCGTGTTATTTTACGGTATGAGGAGGAACAAAAATGCGTTGTGATTTGAATAGTGCTCCCTTCTTTTAAGAAAGTTCTGGCTTTAGTTGCTCCTCTTTGAAGGAGGGAAGTGCTAAGTCTGGAAAGTGGGATGGAGGGTGACCAAGATCTCTGAGGAAGGGGAGGAAAAATTCCAAAGGGAGATTCAGCTCCCGTTTTCCCCGACCTTCATCTAATTCCCTTGCATTTGAGTGAAAATCTTGCTCTTAGAGGATGAAGTGATACTCATAGCTCCAAGGGGAGGTGGTTGGAAAACCTGAAAAATCATCAGGGGAAGAAAAGGTATCTTCAGGGAGAAGTAGCTGATTTGGAAACTGCCAGTGAGGGCCTACCGGTGGAAAATAAAATGAGAAGGGAACAGGCAGCTTGTGTATAACAGAAAGGAAAAGGGGATTAGGGAATATTGAAAAAGACCAATAAAGGGGATGTCAGCTAGGAAGAACAAAGGAAGAAAAATGCAACGTACACAAAGCAAGATGAGTGAAGGTAGATTAGACCGTTCCTTTTCAAGCTGAGGTAAAGTATAGAAAATGCACTTTTTCTCTTAATCACATGGGGACTGAGTTGCCTAAGATTAGGCAAAATGTTTGAAATAGATGTGAAGCCATGCACAGGGCGTTATAGAAGAGAATATGAAATGCAGAGTCACATTTGAGGAGGATTTGAGAACAAGTTTGATGTATGACAATACCACAATTGTTTGCAACTAGAGCGGAAAAACATTTATTTTAGCTGACAGTTAACCATCTTGCACCAGTGTGTGTCAGGAAAACTTTCCATAGTGTCCAGAAAAAATACGGTGAACCGTTTTTTCTTTTTTTTTTCTTTTGAATACTGTACTGGTTAATAGGTGTACAATGATGCCCATATTCTGGAAAAGACCCTTAAAGAAAAAAGAAAAGAACTGGGACCTCTACCTGAAGATGATGATGTTGCTTCTCCTAAACTAAAGCTAAGTAAGGCAACCTTGTAGATGGCATGTCTCATGTCAACGTTTATCAAAACCCAGCAATACACGTTAACAAACTCTTGCGTTTAAAATGGAAGACAGAATCTGCATGTTTACATGGACATGCAAAGCAGGATTATATTTCGAAATCATGATTACAGCAGTGGTATTGATGTGCAACATGATAAAAATGGGGTGGTGTATATAGCTTGTGTCTCTAACTAAGGTAACTTAGAGTGAAGAAGGGAAAACTTAGGAGTGGTTAAAATGATTGGTATTTATTCAGGTGATGCTATCCAAATGTGAGGTGAGGTTGAAATCCTAAAAGGTCTGAAACAGCTGAAGCTTTCAAAAAAAAACGTTGTCAAATTAAGGAGCTGAAGTTCTTTTCTGTTCCTGGCATTTCTATGGGTAGTATGAGCCATCTTCATTTGTCTCTGTTGCTCTTCGTTTTTTCATGTTTGCATCTCTTACACTATTTAAGTCTTAATGTACTAATAGGTTTCTTTGTTTTGTGCTGTTTTCTGTGGCATTTACAACAGTCTAAATTTAAAAAAAAAAAATAGTCCCCCTGGTAATTGCAATTGTAAGTGAGATAAGGAAAACGTTTTTCTCCACTTTTAGATTTTCAGTATACTTATGTTGTGTAACATGTCAGTAATATGTGTTAATGGGATTGCTTACAAGAAAGATGCTTCTGAAGCTAAGGCAGTCAGGATTTCCCTGGTTGAACATCTGAGATTTCCACAGAATGATAAAGGAAATAAGAGCTTTTCTTGGAAAATTATTGTAAATCCATTTAAAAAAAAAAAAAAAACAAGTGAAATCTGCAAAACTATGCTTTTCTAGAACCGTTGCCCTTAAAACTAGTTTTAATAACAGTCAGATCTTATGTCCCCTTAACGTGTGTTCAGAACTTGACGAACTGAGAAGATTGCCCAGACAGGCTTAATGGAAATAAATACGTGCAGCCCTCTTGGGGCATTATTGAAAACAGAAATGTGCAGCTCTTATGCAAGATGGAGGTACTAGAGAACTCACAGACCGAGTCTGTGCAGTGCGGTTACTAAGATCCTGAATTAATGGGAAAGCTCATCTGATAGATCACCCCATTGGAAGCATTATTTTATATTTTACCTATAATAATCCTCTTTTATTTTGGCATAAACATTCTTTTGTAAAAGAATCTTGTAATATTTAGAATGCTTAATTTTAGGAATAGTGAAAACCATGTAATGACTGGATGTTTAATGGCCATTGAGAGAATGTCATGTAGAGCTAATAAGACTAAATTGATTTTTAGAGGGAGGTACTAATCATGTCAGGTAGGTGGTGGTGGGGAAAAGATGTTTTCCTTGCTGAGGTGTAAGAGACCTTCACTTTGTGGCCACATATGATTCAGTGTGTGCCAAAAATAACCTTAAATAAATGGCAGGTATTTAAGAGGTATAAGTAAGGAAGCTGCAGCTTAGGTTGAGCACCGTGCTGGAAGTTCTCCACTCGCATCAGAGGGTAGTGCTGCAATAAGTTTCCAACGGAAAGGAGTCAGACAAAGAAGTGCAGAAGTTCCGTTTTTCTAGTGATTTTTTTTATTTCTTTTTTTTGTCTGCTCAGGTAGAAAAAGTGGCATTTCCCCTAAAAAATCGAAATACATGACTCCAATGCAACAGAAATTGAATGAAGTTTATGAAGCCGTTAAGAACTACACAGATAAACGAGGCAGGCGGCTGAGCGCCATCTTCTTGAGGCTGCCATCTCGATCTGAACTTCCGGACTATTATGTAACTATTAAAAAGCCTGTTGACATGGAAAAAATCAGAAGTCATATGATGGCCAACAAATACCAGGATATTGATTCCATGGTAGAAGACTTTGTAATGATGTTCAATAATGCCTGCACCTATAACGAGCCAGAATCTTTGATTTATAAAGATGCCCTGGTCTTGCATAAAGTTTTACTCGAAACTCGAAGAGAGATAGAAGGAGATGAGGATTCTCACGTCCCCAACGTAACTTTGCTAATTCAGGAACTTATCCATAACCTTTTTGTATCTGTTATGAGCCATCAGGATGATGAAGGCAGATGCTACAGTGACTCTTTAGCTGAGATTCCTGCTGTTGATCCCAACTTCCCAAACAAACCTCCTCTGACTTTTGATATTATCCGGAAAAATGTTGAAAATAATCGCTATAGAAGACTCGACTTGTTCCAGGAGAATATGTTTGAGGTACTTGAGAGGGCAAGGAGAATGAACCGGTAAGTGAAGCCATGTTTTTCAGATAGCCTTTGTCTTATAGCACAAGTTTTGTGTGTTGCCGTTAGACAAAGACTGAAGTTTTGCGAGATGTTTGCTTTTACTGATATTGGTGTTCAGAAAATTCTGCTCAGTTAAGGGTCTTTTATTGTCTTCAGTGAAATGTAGGCTTTCATCTAAAAACAAGGAAAAGGTAGGCTTCTGCCATGAGATAATTTGGATGTTAAATCTTTAAAAGGCACACCTCGTGAAAGCCACAGATGTGCTAACTTTCGACTTGAAAAAACAAAATTAGGAAAGAGGAGTTGTTTAACTGCTTGACTAGCGGACTACTCTTTTGGAGCAATCCCAGTGTTGTGAGCTGTGATAATATTGTGCGAAAAGTACAAACACCTGCCACCTTTTGCTGTGTTTAACTTGAATTAGCTAGAATACTTAGAGCTATACAGGTGAGCTCTTGACTCTGGAGGAAAAGCTATGAGAAAGGTGCTGAAACATCTGCTAACAGGAATAGGGGTGATTAAGTTGTTTTTGTTAAAATGACTATTTAGGTTCTCGGAAGTCATCTTCAAAAGTGAACAGCTTGACCAGGCCCAGCCAGTTATCTGTGATTTTTCTGGTATTTTAGGATTGGTGTATGCAAAAATAGTGCTTTTAGGCAAACTGATACAGACAGACAGCAGAGTAGCAGGTGGAGCATGATTTGCCGGTGTCTGTGCTGCCACTTGTTAGGAATAAGCACCAAAACCAATCGCTAGAGCGGAGCTTTAGTGGATATTGTCAACCCCATTTATTATAGGCTCTATGCCTAACGTAGTTATGGTTACGATATGTCATAATCTTCCTGGACACGTTCTCTTGGATTTTGTTTTATTTTGCTGTCTTGTTTAGTTTTCCCTCCAGAACGCGTCTCGTTGTTGTTTGTTTGGGGAGTGTTTTGTTTTTTAAAGCATCCTTTAGGAAGCTACGGGCGTGCTTGAGGATTCCTGAACGTGCAGAGCCTGACTGGAGCTCCTTGTACGTCTTGGCATAGTCAGAGTTTCTGCATCTGTGCTACGTTTGCACTGCTCAGTAGGCTCACAGCTTCTAGGCTATGGGAGATGGGTTGGCTGTGCGCGTTGCACGTGCGTGGTAGAACGCTAGCGTGACCAGCTTTCTTCCCGGGAACGTTTCACTAAAATTTTTATTCGGGAAATTTGTAGATGGAAATATGAGAGTCCTTTCCTGGTAAGTAGGAGATGTAGAGGTAAATTGCCTCCACTTTACTATGGCATAAAAGGATGGACGCAGGCTCTGAAGGCAGAGCTGACCTAATGTACAACGTCGCTCCAGGTGATTTCTGGCAATTTGCTTGTGAGTTGGCAAATAGAGCTGGGTTACACTGAGTAAGCTTTTCTTTCGTTTCTTTCTCCTTTATGTTTTGTTTAAGAAATGTGAAGTATTTTTCATTGCAAATTACCTCCGAGTTTGTCAGCGTTCCCAGCCGGAGGTGGAGCATTAGAGACTTCTCTAAATCAGGGCGTACATCTGTGCAGCCGTCAAGTAAGCTGGTAGTGTTGGTTCCTCATCTACCTTTTGGTTCACCTTCGTTGAGATTTGTAAGTTCTATAACTGAAAAGCTGGCAACAGATTTCAGAGGAGGCAAAGGCCATTTTAACCAAATATCTCCCCAAATAAAAACAGCACGTGGTTACTCGACGGTATTTGATTGGAAACTGCTCTTTTGGGGCACAGAATATCGATCCCTTTTACTTTCCAGGACATGTAAACAACCTCCTATAAACTTTTTCTCTCTAAAAATAGTTAGTGATGAATTCTGTAACTCGAAAACAAGTTCAAAGCAAGTCCGCTACTTGAAATTAAAACGTTAGGCCCTGGTTATACTTCACTTTCTAATCCTTCACTTTGTAAATACTTTCACGTGAAGGATAGGTTTGGTGGCAAGCGCCTTTTGTAGGTTTAGGCTTTCAGTTTGACGCCAGTAGCCCGGCTGGACAGATGGCTCGAATCACCTGTGGTGAGGATCATTTTCCAAAGTCCATAGAGCAACATGGTGCTCTATCCAAAAGTTGAAAAAAAGAGCGCAGAGGTAGAGGCACAAACATTTTGTTCCTCTTGACTATTTAGTATGGCAGTGCTGTTCAGACCGTAAACCAAGAAATCTACTCGTGTTAATAAAGCAAGATGTACTGAATTCTGTTGCGTTAGCCCTTTGCTGAGTAAGACACCTTTTGTATGAAAGATGAGTTTCTAACTTATCACCAAGGGTGGTAGCGATAGGTGCCTGTTCAGAATCCTTTTTGTCTCTGCACAAACTATGCTTCTGTCTTGTCATATTGTACCTATTTTTATTCAGGACTGATTCAGAGATTTATGAGGATGCAGTTGAACTTCAGCAATTCTTTATTAAAATTCGAGATGAGCTGTGTAAGAATGGAGAGATTCTTCTGTCGCCAGCTCTCAGCTATACCACCAAGCATCTTCACAATGATGTAGAGAAGGAAAAGAAGGAAAAGTTGCCCAAAGAAATAGAGGAGGATAAACTCAAAAGAGAGGAGGAGAAGAGAGGTAGCTATTTTCTTTATATCAATATGAAATATAGTAATTGAAAAATATGCATATGATGTATGCTCTGTTCTTTCTGCAGCTTCACCTACTGAAGGAGCCTTAATAGTCCCTCTGATTGTCCAGCCAGGGATCTTGTAATTTAAAGTTATGAGGAATTGATTTTGTTCTGATCCTTGTCGGCCAAGCCATATGGCTTTAAGACAGACATACGGTTAAATGCTAACCTTGCATAAACTCTTTAATCAGAACAGGTATTGGTAGTCTTATTCTAAGGATATTATAAAAAAAACAATAGTTTTTAATATATCTTTCTATCTGCTAATAATAAACTCAGCAGTGACTGTTCCAGTTGACTTTTTGTCATAACTTTTTTTTAGGGCACATTCCAACTTTCTTGTTTGCTGATAGTGTTGTCTATGATCATGCTTTTAATGCTGATATTGAAGTAGGCCTTTTGCATTTTGTGAAGAACTACTGGCTTGTGCCGTTCTGTAGGGCAAGAAACCTACTCTGAAGGTCTCGTGTTTCACGTTGGCTCTACCTGTGCATGTAGTGGTTGTGGAACAGGCTTAGAGGAATGTGGAACAGGCTTAGGGGAACTCTATCTGCTAATAATAAACTCAGCAGTGACTGTTCCAGTTGACTTTTTGTCATAACTTTTTTTTAGGGCACATTCCAACTTTCTTGTTTGCTGATAGTGTTGTCTATGATCATGCTTTTAATGCTGATATTGAAGTAGGCCTTTTGCATTTTGTGAAGAACTACTGGCTTGTGCCGTTCTGTAGGGCAAGAAACCTACTCTGAAGGTCTCGTGTTTCACGTTGGCTCTACCTGTGCATGTAGTGGTTGTGGAACAGGCTTAGAGGAATGTGGAACAGGCTTAGGGGAACGAATAAAGCTCTCTAGTTGCTGCCCTCCGCAGAGCTGTTAGTCCTTCCACCTTGGATTATCTTTCTGACGTGGCTACCCTTATCACATAGCACTAAGGTCAACAACAGAAAAGTCTGGTTCCTAGAGCCAGGTTCAGCGTTGTAAGGGGTCAACAGCTATGATGCCCTTTTTCTCTCTTCCTATGAGAGCCAAAAAGTACCCCCAAAGAAAACAAAACATGCCCTTCTGAAGGCTTCTGAGCTCATTGCTATCAGCAAATTCTTCCTCTCTCACTGTGTGTGTGGGGGGGCCTCATTAAAACTTACCTGTAGAAGCAGTCCACAGTCTTCAGCAGCACCAGTAACAGGAAGGAGAGAGTAGGTGCAGCACAAAACATGCTTTCACCTTTCTTTCACGCTGCAATTCAGTTGCAGAGAGAGGCCTCGAATATCACGTGACGCTTCTGCATTGAGCCTCTGGGAACAGAAAGAAAGGCTCTCTCTCTTCTTGTTTGCTGATTGGATAGAGTCTAGGACAGTGGCTTCCTGATCCACAGCTGCACTGTGGTGACCTTGCTATAGTAAAGACTAATTCATGGTTACATATTAAACATTGACACTATCTCGAGATAGCCTGCAAACGTTATTAATCTGCCATGATGCTCCTGCTTGTGGATGTCCTCCTCTTTTTGGCTTTCATATGCTCTTTGGATGCACCATTGGAATTTGGATTCAACAATACTAACAAAACTACCGACTGCTTTATAAATAATTATTAGTCATTACTGTTTTAGTGATGAATTCATTAAGCCAGATCCTTTAACTCAATTCATGAAGAGCAGAGATATGATTTAAAAAGTTCATAGTCTATTTCTAGAGTCCCTCTTTTGTTCCTTAGGTGACTCAAAGGCTTTGGCCACATGATCAAGTTATGGTAAGTTAGAGTGTGTACTTAAAGGAGGTTGATACTTTCGTTACCCGTTTGAGTGCATTAAATGCAATGCCTTTTATTTGTCTTTCACAGAAGACTGAGCTATCCAGCGTTTAACAAAGGGTGAGAGCATTCACATGAGCAGTAGTAGCTAATATGTAAATATGGATGTGCTAACTTCTATTTCCCCCCCGCCCTCTTTCCTTGAAATAAGAAGCAGAAAAGAGTGAAGATTCTTCTGGATCAGCTGGCCTCTCAAGTTTGCATCGGACCTACAGCCAGGATTGCAGTTTCAAGAACAGCATGTACCATGTAGGGGACTACGTGTATGTGGAGCCTGCTGAAGCCAACTTGCAACCTCATATAGTCTGTATTGAGAGGCTGTGGGAAGATTCTGCTGGTAAGAACGTCTTTGTTAGGAAAACAATGCAGCGAAACTTACTATTATTATTACTACTATTTAAAACTTCCAAGCTGAGCGTTTTCTGTGTGGAAATTATTTCATTTACAGAGGTGTGTGGGGGCTGGTGAGTATTTCTGCTTGTATGTGAATTACTTTGTTCCAAAGAATATCACAGGTATAAAGTTTTTGAGTCAACACACGTTTTTTGGGTCTTCTTCCCTACCCCCACAAATTGTAAGTATCCCACAGAACAGGCTCTTCTATGTGGATTGGGCTCCCTGTAATTCAAGTGTAGCTGTGTTTTATAAGGAGAGAGCAAAAAGGCTGGGACTCCTCATATTGGAGAGGAGAAGTCTGAAGCCAGGGTATAATTAATGTTACAAAATCATATAGTTGGTGGGTAAGGTGAATGCAGAAATACCGTTCAGCAAATCTTGTGGTGCTAGAATTAGAAGTTACTCATTGGCACTAATAGGTTAAAACACGTGAAAGTGTCTGGGTTTTTAATATAGTGGGTAGTGAGCCTCTGGAATTGGCTTCCCCAGGAGCTTGTGGAGGCAGATTCAAAAACAGATGAGACAAATCAATGTACTGCAGATTTAAAACAGATAATAAAGGGAATAAGCAGAGAATAACAGCCAGAAAAATTGAACAGCTCTCTAACACTCCTAATCCAAATGAACCACAGACAAAGGCAAAGCTTGCGTGCTTTTCCCTAGTAGCCTGTCCTGCTGCTTCTTTCCTCAGTTGGATAGAGCATATTGGGCTAGATGGATCATTGGTCTGGCGAGTTGGATGTTTCTTATGTTCTTTATCTGCTATGGAGAAAGTGAATAGCACTTTTTTATGCTGGTTCAGTCCACAGATTCTAAATTCTTTGATTTAGAAAAATAGTATATATCCCCAATTTATTCCCATGGAAGTAATAGTTCTTAAAAGCTTGAAACCTTTTGTCCAAGGGTCTTCAAACATCTGGCTCTTCAAATAGTCAGGCGATTATTGTGCAAACTTTGAAGCCGTTTGAAGGGCTGAAAGTCAGGATTATAAATAAGTTGCGGACTGTATTTCCTATAGCCGTTTGGCTCAACAGAGCTAATTCCTCCTCTGTTTTGCTGAGTCAGGTTTTCTTAGGGGGAAAAAAAACTTGCCAGTTTTTTAAGTAACTAAATTTTTCTTATCTGAGACAGTTAAGGAATGTTTGCCCTGTTTTAAATGGGTTAAATTTACTCCCTGTATGAATTCCTATATGGCCATTTGGTTAGGAAAGCAATCTATGGTTGGTTTCAGCTGCTCATGCAATAGAGAACATACCTTTTGACATCTTCTCTTCCCTTCTTCCTCTCCCTCCCTCTTTCTTTTCCTATGTTAAAGGAGAGAAATGGTTGTATGGCTGTTGGTTTTATCGACCAAACGAAACGTTTCATCTTGCAACGCGAAAGTTCTTGGAGAAAGAAGTTTTTAAAAGTGACTATTACAATAAAGTTCCTGTTAGCAAAATTTTAGGCAAATGCGTGGTCATGTTTGTTAAGGTGAGAGACCTTTGGATTAATTTGCTACATAACGTGTTCTCTGTTCTCTTTTATTTTCTCGAAGAGGTGTGGGTATTCTGATACGTAGGCATAGTCTAACAGCACTTGAATAGAACTTACTCCTTTGTACTGTTGGTGTACCGTGAATATTTGCTGCCCTGTAGAGCAGAAGTGGTATAAAGTGGTGGTGTTTTCCAACACTGTTTGGTTTGTAGGATCATATGTGTATTAGATGATTAGCTAACTGACTTTTCAGAGGATGTAGTAGAAAAATTGCAGATAATTTCTTAAAGATTCCCTTAAAAGGGAGTAGGTAGGTTTTGGCCAGAGGGAGACTTGCATGACTTGGAGGCTTGGTAACAGGTTGAAGTCTTTCTTCTCTGTTTCAAGTTGAGTCCACGTAGCTCCCTGCACACACAGCTCCCTGTGTGTTTTTGGCTTGTTTGAAACATGTCAGTATTTCGACCAGTTCTTCAAAAGTAGTGCGTTTAAGGAAAAAAGTATTACTGCTGGTGAGGACATGGATGGGTGTTACTGTCAGATATCAATGGGCACGAAGCTTAGTGTTTTTCACAACTCAGTGGTCATGGTCTCTTTCCTGGTCAAAGCTTAGAAACCTTGTAAAGGCAGCAGCTTTGGGGCTGCAGGTCTCCTTGTACTTGTTAATGGACCTTTTTGGTAGATGAATAGAACTCAACTTTTCTGGCAACCTGGCACCTGTACTGAATTTAGCATGGGCTTTCTTCTCCTCCAAGGGTGGGATTTCTCATTGTTTATTTCTGATTTTTAATGCAACTTGGATGTCAAACAGTAAGAAAAAAGCTCAGTGGCTGGGCTTTTATTGAAGTGTTTCTGATAAATACACAGAAAAAAAGAGGGAGCGTGCGAGGGAGTTCACAGTGTTTCTATGGTGTGTGTGTGTGTGTGTGTTCCTGAAAGCCTTTGTCTAAAAGTATTTTCTTCAATCCACAGGAATATTTTAAATTATGTCCTGAAAACTTTAGAGATGAGGATGTCTATGTCTGTGAGTCACGTTATTCTGCAAAGACAAAATCTTTTAAAAAGATTAAACTGTGGACTATGCCTGTTAGCTCCGTAAGATTTGTCCCACGAGATGTGCCTCTGCCTGTGGTCCGTGTTGCTTCTGTGTTTGCTAATACAGACAAAGTAGATGAGGAGAAACACACTGAGAACTCGGAGGACAGTAAGGTGGGAGAAAGTATCCTTCATCTTGAAAAGGTATGCAAGATATTCAGCTGGATGTCGATTGTATTTGGCAGATAAGGAATGATGAAATGTGAGCACGCATGGATTCAGTTTCACAGTATCCTGAAAGTTGCATCAATTGATGCGGCTAAACACAATATAAATAGACAGACTGGATGAAAAATAAACTATGTACCTATTTGCTAGATTTCTTTTGTTTTACAAATGGCTTTTCGTCATTGTGTGATGGGTTAATTTTTCTGTACCGCTTTGGAAAAGAAAATTATACTTTCCTGAAGAGTTTACTCTAAGCCTAGAAAATCAGTAGACCCAGAGGTCTATTTTTAGCTCATAGCAATGCTGAAATTCTGTATTTTATAATATTTCAGTAAAGTTGTCAGTAACTAGAGAGCAGTAGGCGATACGTAATATTCTGTTGTTTGTGGCCTTCTATTTATGGTTGATAACTGAGCAGTTTATCATGTACATGCTTACGAATGTTTCTGGTCGGCATACTGGGTAAAATGGTTTTGTTTATTGTGTTTAGACACATCAAATGTATCCACTTTATATTCAGAATTTGCTATCAGAACTTCAACACAGAACACCCTGCGCGCTCATTGCTGTGGGCTTTCGTTAGACACTGAGTAAATATTTTCCAATTTATTCGCATCGTGATAAAACAAAGGAACTCTTTCTACCGAGAGTATGAAAACTTGTGAGGTCTTGTCTTGATGCACATTAGGGGGATATCCTGCGTTTTGATGAGCTTTCTGAAATCTCGGACTAAACGGTCAAATGAGGCGCAATGTGAATTTTTGCTAAAAAGTAACAAATTAAATAGAACAAATGGTATGAATTGGCACGCGATACATGAGCTGTGGGTATTGTTGTATATGAGAGTTGAGTCATGACACTTACGTATGTTCATTTGGCCAAATACTTAGTTCCTGCCTCCTAAGCGTATTACTGTGCTTTAAAACGATCCATCAAAATAAGCTGAAAGGGCTTAGCCAGTTAACAGCAGCGAAGCAACAGAACAAAAAAGGACCTGCAAATTACTGTTCTGACAAAATTACAGCTTTGTGAAATAGCCAAGTTAGCAACTTAGGTAACGTGACATCAAGAAAAAACAAAGTGGTTTTTTTTTTTTTTTTTTTTTTTTACTCGCACCTGGTATGTTTTATTTATGTGATTGGTTTTCCATCTTTGACAAGTTTCTAAATGCCTGCTCTTCTGTAGGACAAAGAAGATGTTCCGGTAGAAATGTCCAATGGAGAACCTGGTTGCCATTACTTTGAACAGCTCTGTTACAATGATATGTGGCTTAAGGTTGGGGATTGTGTCTTCATAAAATCACATGGGTTAGTGCGACCTCGGGTAGGAAGGTAGGTGTAGCTTCTTTATTTGCAGTTTGTGTCTATAAAAATAACTTGCACAAAAGTTGGGCTTGTTGCAAAAAGTAGAAAAGAGGGTGATGGAAAAAGATCTTCTGAATGAAACAAAATGTTAGAAGCTCTTAACAGACTGAGGTAGAAGCTTGGCAGCCTAAAAAGGTGGTGCAGCTGTAGAGTTGGAATGGAGATGACTTCCAGCCTGCTGTTCTGTACTTATAGGTTTCTCCTGACGGTCTTCCTGAGCAACTTCATGTATCCAACTGTCTCATCTAGGAGAGATGACCGTTCACTTACGTCACTGGTTTGGTTTTCTTTCTAGAATTGAGAAGATGTGGGTGCGAGATGGAGCTGCATATTTTTTTGGTCCAATCTTTATACATCCTGAAGAAACTGAACATGAACCAACTAAAATGTTCTACAAGAAGGAAGTGTTTTTGAGTAACTTGGAGGAGACCTGTCCTATGACTTGCATTTTGGGTAATTATTGACAACTTTAAATCCGAAGGACACTGTCTTTCCTAAACGTCTTAAAAATCTGAAGTGCCTTATAGTTAAGTATATGTTTGATTCCAAGTAAATTTTTTTCCATATCGGAGGGGGAGGAGAGCTTACTCTGTCCGTTTCCACAATGCCTGCCTGTCTTTGGCACCTGTAGTGAAAATTTTCATCAACAGCAGGCTTTCTTACGAAACGGAATTACGTTTATGTGACCAAAGCTGAATGTTGCCTACAACCGGAGGACAGAAAACTCATTAGTGTCGTTATTTCAATACTGAGAAGTCCTGAAAATCTGCTCCAAGAAAAAAGAAATTGGCTTTGGGTAGGAAGAGGACTCTATGTACTTCGTTTTGTAGTTAAGATTGTGTGCTAAATATAGTTAACTGAGTAGTGATCATGGTTTTTGATGTTTTGCGAGTTTTTCTGTTCTTAAAAAAACAAAAGCTGCATTGGATTGGTGCAGGTTTCTCATGGGGGACGTTATTTAATACAGGGATGTCAATTGATGCATTTTCTGTAGTTGAATATTTGAGTATCCACACTTTTTATAAGATGCCTGCAATGGTGGCCTCCGCCTTACTCGGCTCGTTTCATTTTTGCAGGGAAGTGTGCTGTTCTGTCGTTCAAGGACTTCCTCTCCTGCAGACCAACAGAAATCTCCGAAAATGATGTTTTCCTTTGTGAGAGCCGCTACAATGAAAGTGACAAACAAATGAAGAAATTTAAAGGGCTCAAGAGGTTTTCGCTCTCTGCAAAAGTTGTTGATGATGAAATATACTATTTTAGGTAAAAATATTATGGGAATGAGGCAATCTCTTAAGTGCTCTTCTATATAGAAATCATGGCTGTAGAAGCAAGAGAACTTGAATAATTTGACTAATCACAATATTTTGGGTTTTGGGTTATTTTGGTTTGGTTTGGTTTTGTCTTTTTAACATCGTGGGAAGGAGTCCAGGTAACATCAGCCTTTACATCCATATTTCACTGTCTTTATGTCAGTGGATATTTTCTTTTCTTCTCTAGGCTTCAGTAGAGGTCATTACATTATCAGAGGTGTAAATCCCCTGGGATGGGGTTAAAATGCCTGTCATGCTTAGGTCCTCATTATGGGTAACAAATAGCTTTCCAGCTGATGAACATTGATATAAATAAAGAAAACATTAATTTCTAACTTAAGTAACGTTGCATCTTCCCTAGAGTTTAAATTTTAACTGCTTTCTATTGCAGAAATGAAAAATTTTCTGCATTGGAATCCTCTTCTATCCTAACTCTCAAAATACACACACAAAAAAAAGGAAAAAAAAAAACCAACAAAGTTTGACTCTGGCCACGGATGCTGAATGATCTCTGCTGGGTGTTCTGAAAGGAAGCACCGACAATTGCCAAGTCACCACTGTTTCCCTGTTGTTCAAGCTGATAGAAAGAAAATTTGGTTTTGTTATCTTGTTTTTCTTAACTTTACAAAATACCTGACAACCAGCAAATTATTGAAAGCAATTTAACTTGCTTCTGTCATAATTACAGTAGTGTTTAGGCATTGTTGTTGTTTAAGAATGTTAGCTTAAATCAAACCTGAACAAAAGGAGACAGACCTGCTGAGTTGCATTGTTGAATTCCTGTTGTAATATCTGATTTACGTGTTTATTTGTGCACTCACCTCATATGTTATGCCCTATAAAAGATGAGCGTGTTCTCATCTGCTTTTCTTCTTCTTACTCTACCTTTCAGAAAACCTATAGTTCCTCAGAAGGAGCCATCTCCCCTACTAGAAAAGAAGATCCAGCAACTAGAAGCAAAATTTGCTGAGTTAGAAGGAGGTGATGAAGACATAGAAGAGATGGGAGAAGAGGAAGGCGACATCACTGAAACACCTTCTATCCCTCAGCTTCAGACCCCATTGGCTAGTGAATTGGATATAATGCCTTACACTCCGCCACAGGTAAAGATCTTCCCTAAGAAACCTTTAAAATTTTGTATTTCTCATTCTTTCTTCAACCCAAATAAACAAAAAAAACCAGCAGAAACCATTTTATCACGTGCACAGAAGAGACTTCTATTTCAGTTTAGTAGTCTTTGGAATGATTATACCGAAGTTCAGCGTATCCAATATGATATTCATGATCGTAATATTTAAGTCCATGTAAATACTCTTAAAAGGGAATAATTATGTCGAGGAAATCTTCTGGGGTTGTAACATGCAACACTTTTGTGTGTTATGTCAATGTTATTTCTCATTCGTAGGATTTTTATGACACTTACTAAAAAATATCATGTCTTCATGTTAAATATGAGGATCGGAGGTACAAATTGTATTCTAATTCTCAATTGACATACCATCCATTTCTAAGCCTTGACAAAAGCTAACAATTTGGGTGTTACATTTTTGATACATTTTTTAGAAAATGCTATAAATCATTCTTGAAGGACAAATAAATGACTTTTTTTCCTGTTTGGACACTGAAAATCACTGACTGGTTTTGCACATTCATACTTGGAAACCAGAACTTGTAGAAAGTCGGAATAAAAATGACCAGAGCTTTTAATGCATCTTGTTGGACATCCTAGAAGTTTGAGAATTAGTCTGCTGGTAAATGGACAGTAGGTAAACGAGGAATCATGTGGTTACCTGTCACTTGAATGTGGCATGAGTCATTGCTGCTGCCAAACAGGGCATTTTTGTCTGCCTTCCCTCTCTTTCTGTGTGTATGACACAAACCCTGGCATTCATGTGATTGAGAGGTGAAGCAGGGTGGGGAATTGCTCTAACTGAAAACTAACCTAACCAAAAAGTTTGTTTGCAGCTGGATGAAAGCCTTTCTCTGTTTCCACCACATTGTCACAATACAGTTGTCAGCATTAAAGAGACAATGGGAATGACCTGCTGGGAGTGGGAGGGAATTTGGGACACCTCTGTAACCAGCAATGTGCACTTCTGCTTCTTTGACTCTGAAGTTCCAGCCTCACTGACAGTAGAAGAAAGGATGAGGCCTCTGGATAGAAATAACTGTCTTTGGATGTCAAGGAAAAAAAAAAAAAAGAAAAGAGTGGATGAAATTGAAAGCTTTGGTTTAGTTTGACTGTAACTTTTGCCACGTGGGCAGACCATCAAACACATTTTCCTGTGTGAAATTGTCTTGCAGCTCTTATTTTTCAGTGCTGAATTCACTGAATGAAGCGCTGAATAAGTAGCGTGAAAATTCTTGCGCAGTATTACAAAAAGATAGTATATTGATATCGGCGTTAACCAAGTAATGTAACACTGCAGGAAGGGAGAAGGTAACTTTTTATAAATTAAGATAATACAATTGTTAAGTATGGCAGCTCCAGAAAGCAATTTAAATAAGGATCAATGGGCATTAAAGATGTCCTCAAACTGCTTTTTGCAATATTCACTGGCTTTGCTCTCCTTTACTTTGTGTCTTTCCACAGAGAATGAAAATCTTTCTTTCTATTTTTTGCTTATACTCCTTTAGAGAGTCACAGAATCACACAGAATGGTTTAGGTTGGAAGGGACCTCTGGAGATCATCTAGTCCAACCTCCCTGCTCAAGCAGGGACCTCTAGAGCATATTGCCCAGGATCACAGCCAGACAGGTTTTGAATATCTCCAGGGAAGGAGACTCCACTACCTCTCTGGGCAACCTGCTCCAGCGCTCTGTCACCCTCACAGTGAAGAAGTTTTTTCTCAGGTGTAGGTGGAACTTCCTGTGGTTCGGTTCAGTTTCTGCTCGTTGCCTCTTGTCCTGTTGCTGGGCACCACGGAGAAGAGGCTGGGCTCGGCCAAATACGATTTTTTTTTTTAATTTTCTAAAAAGTCATGTTGACGTTTGTAATTTTTTTTAATTGAATTTGTAATAGGACAGTCTGGTAGAGCTTTCAGAGTAAGTGCTGAGAAATCAGACTCAGCAGACATGTCCAGCCTGCGTATACATATCTTTAGACAGATGTGAGCTCCTAAGTTGAGAACTTGAAGTTAAAAATGTTTTAAGGAAAACTGAAAAGGACCAATAGCAGTGTGTACTCAAAAGCAAGCTGATGATGACACGCAAGTGCCCCAGCAGATATGTCACGCTGCTGATTTTGAAAGAAAAGACGTATTGTGTCTGACCTAGCATTCAATGTACAATTTGGCTCTTGCGGAGAGATAACTAACGTGTAGCATAGAAATAAGCTTTCTTCTTCATCCCATCCTAGTCTGCTGTATTTATGTCCTCACTGAAAAGTACCTTTTTAAACAGAACTCTTAGATAAACGGCATGCATTTTCTTCATATTCTCTTAAATGTGTGGAATTTTATCTAACAATTATTTAAAAAAACAAAAATTTGTACTTTGCATCAAACACAAGGAGTCAAGACAAAGTGAGCATGTGGTATAGTGGGGCTTGACAAATCCGTGGATGCCAGTCTTCCTGCTGCACAGTTTGCTGTGTGAAGCAAGAAGTAGAACCTAAAAAAGGAGGAAGATGTAGAACTCTACTTTTTTCTTCAGCAGTATGACTGAGAAAAGGCAGAGAAGAGTGATCTGATGTTGAGTCTCGGGTTTATTTCTTCTCTTACAGCATCTAAAACTGAAAAGACAATTATTTGTCTCAAATGGGGAAAAAAATCTATTAAAAATTGTTGTATCAGAGATGTAAAATTATGGAAGATGGATGAACTGAACTCAGAATTCTGACAGTTTTCCCAAGTCCGGTTTTCCCTTCCAGACTGATGAGTAGGTTTTTACTTTGGATTACTTTCAGCAAAACTCTGTTGCCAGCACTGCAAAGGCAAACCAACGGGATAAACGTGTAGCTCTCTAAGTGCAGCTATATGACAGGCCAAGTGTATCATTGGATTTTCACTTTTCTAAATTGGGAACTCTCCGTGTGCTAATGTGTGCTTGCCTCAGAAGCCATGATCAGTTGTACACGGTCTGTGTTTTGTCTCAAGACCTGTGCGTGCTTTTTTTCACTCCCTTCATCATAAAGACAAACTTTAAAGACTTCCTCCCCAAAAGACGTGTGTTCCCTTTAGGTTTACAATGAAAACATTTAGGATGGACTGCCATTTGAAAATGAATACAGCGAAGTTTAGGAATCACCTACAAGCATGCCTGAGTTTATCTGCCGCCTGGCTTAAACTATTGTGCAGGACTCCTTAAGCATGTTAGTATAGCTGAAGCTTTGTATTTAGCTGAGAGAAGAGCGTTGGACTGAGGGGCCCAGAGTGGAGAGCGGAAGGAGTAACATGATCAGAATTTCAGAATAGGAAGAAAAAATTTGTATACATTTTTTTTCTCTTCTTTTCTTTCTTATCCTTGAAATATTTGGAAACAATTACAGTTTTCCAGATGAGAGGCATTTGTAATGGTCAAGATACAAGGAGGGGCTTTTGAGGATTTTAGTATGATAGCCAGGTTGTTGGCCTTATGGATTAAGAGAATTGATGAATCGTTTGATCTCCTGTGACAAGTATATGTGGAAAGAGTCTGAGAAGTGAGGGTATCTCCGCTGTTGTGAGAATAGGTTACAGGTTTTTTTTGATGGCTGGAGATGTCAAGGAGCTCTTGACAGGAGTAGTCAGGGTAGGAAGCGCTGGTTGGTAGGACTGAGCAAGGGAGCAGATCTTTTAAGAGAGCAGAATATCTATTTGTTAACATACAGCTGGCGATGTGAATGTGTTGTGCGGGTGACAGTGTTCGGCAAAACTGGACTTTGGGTTTTTTCAGGGAGAAACGGGTACTTATGTAAAGGCAAATGAACACTAGAAAGGGAGGGAAGTCTGGCAGGCAAAACATAGAGCACTAAGGGATGAGAAGAGAGGAGGATGGAGTCAAGAAGATGGGAGTTGCAAAGGTCTAGGAGGAAACATGGAAGCAATTTCCTAAAATGTGCAATGGCAAACGCGAGTTTTACTTGTGTTTGCAATGTTTCTGAACAGCCTCAGGAATGAAATCTGTGACACAGGGCAATATATATATTTTTTCTTTTAATCTCTTTATGGCCTCCTAAATCTATCACTTGTTTGCTAGCTGGCCCAATCTTAGTCCTCTCGTTCAGTTTGGAATAACACCAGCTAATAGGAAATATTCTTTGTTCTTTAACTCAGACTTCTTTGAAGCCTCAGTTGTGAAGTTGGCTTTTTGTCTGGCAGGTTTGAAAAGGATCAGATAATTGTTTTTTTCTTCTGTGTGCTTTCTTTAAATGTGTGTGCTGTTGTCATTTGTTGGTAGGAGATGCACCTCTCTTTAGAGGCTGTAAGTTTGGATGTCCTTGATATATACAAGAGAAATGTGGGAACTTTTTTAAATACTGTTTCATATGCCTTTGGATTTTGTATGTTGAGAAGCTTCTCTTTGGTACACTTGTGGTCATAACTGCTTTTTCTCACAGTCCACTCCCAAGTCTGTTAAGGGCAGCACCAAAAAGGAGGGATCAAAAAGGAAGATCAACATGAGTGGTTACATCTTATTTAGCAGCGAGATGAGAGCTGTAATTAAAGCTCAGCACCCGGACTACTCCTTTGGAGAGCTCAGCAGACTTGTAGGAACTGAGTGGAGAAACCTGGAAGCAACTAAGAAAGCAGAATATGAAGGTAAATAAAAAAATAAAATTATGAACTCCTTTCTACTTTTTTCTTTCTAGATGCATTCATTACTTTTATTCAGATGGCAGGTTTAATGAAAGAAGATATTTATATTTGTGTTCTGGATGTACCTTAAAGAGAAGTTCGTATTAAGAGATGACTGAAGAGGAGCAAAGGCTATATGTTTAAGTTATGTAGTGCACTATGTCTGCATGACAACTGGTTATTTAAAAGTCTTTTCCACAAATAGCTGTCAAGAAAGACAAAGAAAATGGGGACAAAATTGGAAGTAAAGGGGCATGGAGGGAAATTGCTGGAAGTCAGTTGGAAAAATTACCTGTGAAAGTCTTCTTAAGGGAAGCCTGGGGGGGAGGCAAGAAAGGGGATTTTGGACAAGAAGCAAGAAGCTCCTCGGAGCTGAGAGGCAGGTAAGAAAGCATATAGTGGAGCGGGAAAAAGTTATTTGATTAACTGAACTCAGATTCTTAAAAAGCTTTAGTAGAATAAAATCAAAGCTACAACATCTGTTACAATACTGGGAGTATGACCTGTTGTTCGATCTCAGTATTATTTAAGAGTTGTAACTAATTTTGTTGGGAGATCTCGTATCCTGAGTAAGCCTAGAAATATTTCATAGGCATAAGATACTTTAGAAAGACCTTTCTTTCTTTCTTTCCTACTGATATTTGTCATTGTGCTTCAACTTTTTTTGATCAAAATCACTTGATCTTTAAAAGCAGTCCCTATCCAAACCAAGTATGTTGACTTAACATCTGGATTTATTGCTATAGTTAATAATGTGTCAACGTTTCCAGTATAAAGCCCTCCCCCTTTTTTTTAGGCAACTATTGCAATTTTATTGGAAGAAAATACTGCTTTGAATAGGAGAGTTTCAACACTCTAGAAAGTTATTGCCCGATTAAGTTATACGCTTGCTTTTAAAGTTGAAATTTGGTAGCTTTTTTGCATACTCATAACTTAAAGGCAGCTTTGGTCTTCAAACTAGAAGTTTGCATGCTATCACTTTCCACCCTCGGCCTCCTCAGTCCTTCCTGAATTGGCAGTAGTACCTCTTTGCAGTTCTGGAGAGTATTACAGCACCACTGTGCTACGTGTGAGTTTTCTTTGCAAACACTGTGAAGGGAAATGGTAATGCTCTTTCTCTGTGAAAATACTCTAGCCTTTTTCTCCTGTTGCAGTTTCCTTTTACATCATTCTAGGTGCGCATGATAGCTTTTCGTTGACAGGTCCCTCCTTACGGCCTAACTGTCAAGCAGTAGGACGGCTAGCGCGTCATCATCACTTCGTAGCTTAGAGCAGCTTGACATCTTGCATTTCCATTGGAAGACATGGCTGTAACGCAACAGTAGCAACAGTGTCTGTCCACTGTGTTTATGATTGCCTAAGTGCTTCCTTTTTAATCCTTTTTCTCACTTATAATTTTCCAAAGCTTTTGAGTTTTGAACTGCAGTTTCTCAGGCTTGATGTCTGCCGAGAACCAGGCTTGCTTTTATTTGCTTTTGAGGGATTGGGGTGGGGTTACAAAGCGTCCAAACTGTGTTTGCTTACCATGTGAAAGGGAGAGAGACTCCGTTCCTTCCACTGTGACAGCTCAAAATTGATGCGCTCTCTGGTGTAGACCATGCAGCAGAGAGCAGGAAGCTGTCAGGGTTTGACATCTCAGTGGAAAAGTGCCTTTCTGTGTTTTAGTGAAAAGTAGTTTGCATTTTAGATCCATTTTGACCTATTGGAAATTGCATTTGGTATATATGCAGGATAATAGTTGATTTTTAGTAATAACCAAGAACAGGCTACTTTGGAAATGCCTGCACGATTAAATGCATTGTGAAAACTCCTCAAAATAAAATAAAATTACGCATAGAGATTGAGGCAAAAGCCTGTTTTAAGGAAAAGCTATGGTCAAAGCAGAAGGTCTCCTTTCTGTCTTTTGAGATGTGTTGGAACTGTCATTTGAGTGATCTCAGGCCTTATGATTTGGCCTGAATGATTTGGGGTGAGATTCACTGAGTATTGAGGTGAACACTCAAGACTGACCTTTTTGACACCCTCCACTGTTCCCTCTTGGCAGTGTTATTAGTTCCCTCTGTTTGTTCCGTGCCAGCCAGGACATGGATAGAGACTTAGATAAAACTCAGGTTTTGTCCTATGCTAGGTCCTTCTTCAAGGCTCAGCGCTCCAAAGTCTGATAAAACTGAGCAGTTAAGAGCAACTTCTCATTCTTCAGAGGGTCTCCAGAACTTTTTCTTTTGTCTAACTTCTTTTTTTTTTTTTTTTTGGACTGGCCAAAAGTAGATGAAGTCAGAACAGCTATTTCATCTTTTCCCTAAACGCTTGCTCTGCTCTGTAGACGATTATTTCATTTTTCTACTTCAGGATCTACCATATCTTGTGTATTTTGTGCTCAGTCATTTATGAGTTGCCTGTAGTAAATTTAGGACTTTCTATGCGTCGTCATCTTGACAGAAATGAAAAGAAGGAAGGAAATGCCTTTAAAAATGGAACTGGTCTTTCAGTGTATGGATATAGTTCTGCACAAACAGCTCCTCCAGGAGACAAATGTGTAATACGTGTTTGAAGTCACATTACTAGGGAAACCTGATAATGTTGGCAGGATGCATAATTTGATCTCCTTGATGAACTTCTTAGCCTGGTTTGACAGAGGTCCTTGATTGCTGTTTTAGTGGCAGTTTGCATCTTTCACCAACTGCAAGAAAACGTCTAGCCCTGCATTCACTGTTACTAAAATTTGCTGGAGATGTACGCTGCATTCATTTATCCTTTGTTGTTCCTCGTTGCTTTCAGTAGGATATAATGTTCAGAGTAAACAAATCAGTAACTTGCATGCCCCGAAAGCACCTTGAGTGGGCGTTTGGTCCATCTCCTTTTTTGTTTGGTTGGTTTTGCTTTTTGTTTCTTTCTTCTTCCCATGCCCCCTTGCCCTTTCCTTAATATAAAATTCTCAGGGTCAGATGCCCCTGCAAGCAGATCTTTTATTCTTGCGGTCACAGTGAGAAACTTGATTGAGATAATGACCAGATTCATCATACCGAGGACACACGTGACCTCCACTGAGCAGCACAATGCGAGTTAGACATCTTCAGCAAAAAAGGAAAAAATAGCTCAAGAGGGACCAAAATGGGGAAAAATGGCAGAGAGAGGCGGAGAAAATATTTTTTTGGTTCATCAAACTGCTGCTTGTTATGTTCCAAACACTGAGGACCCGTCTCCACTAGGGAAACTTTGCAAATGCTTCCCAGCTTTGCCACCACTTTTCAGCTGCATCAGTAGTAAAAATATCGGTAGCCTGAGAATGAACGGGCCACCGACTGGCCTGGATACCTGCTCTTGGCGTCTTGCTTTAGGGCATGCCCAGCAGACGCGGTACTTAAAATTTCAGCAGCAGCTGGTGGCATGTGTGCCTGCGAGCGGCCAGCCTTTGCTCTAACTGGTTTAGCTGAGCCAGTGGCGTCGAAAGAGGGAACGTTTTGCCATGTTTTCCTAGTGTGGAGTGAGCCTAGTGCTGGACTGCCGCTTCATGTTGGTAACACTGGTGTTATTATCAAATTTGTCCTCTGACTTTTTAAATTTTAAAAAAAGAAAAAGGAAAAAAAAAAACAACAACAACTCTGTGGAATATTTTTCATGAAAGGTTTTTGACAAGTCTTAGCTGCAGCCACGTGCCATCAAATTATATGCTGTATGAGAAGATTGATCTGTTCTACTTTATATTTGACTAAACTATGCCAGTGTTTGACTAGTCCTTTTGAAATGAACAGATAATATTTTGAAATTCTGGGTTACAAAACAGAACTGAAAATCTAAAATACTTTTACAGAGCGGGCAGCTAAAGTTGCTGAGCAGCAGGAGAGAGAGCGAGCAGCACAGCAACAGCAGCAGAATTCCTCCCCCCGGGCAGGCACTCCTGTCGGGGCTCTTATGGGGGTGGTGCCGCCACCGACACCAATGGGAATGCTCAATCAGCAGTTGACACCCGTTGCAGGTAAAACGTAGGAGCTACGACCATTTTTTCCTCATCCACTATATCAACCCCCTTCATAACTCTGAACACTCTCTTGGGTCACTTTGTTCTTACTGAAGAAAAAGCTCAACCTCTTCAGTCTTTCTTCATAATGAATATACCTAACCTGAGAAGTAGCCTGATGTTCCCACGTTACTTGATCCGGGAGTTAGTAGCCTGTTGAAAACGCCGTGAGAGAGGCTTGGCCTCGTGCGGTAGTCCTGTTCTGTTTGTATGCGGTTGTATTTGTTCGCCCCGCTTTGGGGAGTTCGCGGTTAGCCCTGCTGCGGCAGGAGGGACAGCGCTATGTGTTCTTCTAGTGCATGCATCATCAGCGGACGTGGTAGAGCAGGAGACGAGTTGTGTTTATTTTATTTATTGATTTACGTATTTAATCATCCGGCGATGTGAAAAATAAACAGGATCCAAACTGAGTTTTAAATCCCAGCGTGACTTTGCAGAATTGCCAATTAGACACTGGTAAGCAGAGCAGACCAGGAGCCAGAACCGTCGTGAAAACAGATAGGAAATCCCAACGTTGCTGCCTTTCTTTAATCAAGGGATTTTCAGGGTAGAGCTGAGCTAGGAGAACTTTTCCACGAGGTCCTTGTTACTAGGTGTCGGCCTGGTACCAGTCCTGATCCAGCTCAGTTCATAGGGCGTATGCTCAGAATAAGTATTTCCGGGATCGGATCTGCACACTAGGCAGCGCAAAGGAGAATCTCTTAGAGGAGTCAGCCGTCTATCTGTGAGAAAATGTACTAGAGAGGACGTAATCAAGTTGTTTTTCTTCCTCCATTTCTGATTTTACAGCAGGTTGTCTAGAATGCAGTACTTCAGTGAAGGTCAAAATAGTGCTGAGTATGTAGAAATGAGTATTGGGGGGTGTTTGGTTTGGGAGGTCTTGGTTTTTGGTCTTGGTTTGGTTGGGTTTTTTTCCCTGTAAGGCTTTCCAATTAGTCCATTTATTCTTTTTGTCGTTTTTTCTTTCCCATCTCACAGGCTGCGGCCATGCTTTGAGCTGACAGCCTGAAGTGTTTCCCATCATGATCTCTAAAGCCCTTCTCAGTAAATAGGCTGCATGGATGTTTAAACTGAAGGCGCAGTCCTTGTTTGGTTTGTGGTCTCCAGGCCACAGAAGCATTTGGTTACACCTGAACTGCCTTTTTTAAAAACAACCACCACAACAAACTTTGAACACCTAGCAGATTTGTCTTGTAGTGTGATAATTTTCTTCCAAGCTGTTGGCAGTTTTGTGTGTGTGTACATAGATATACATATGTGTGTGTACATCTATATATATATTTATATAAAAATAATATTTCTCCAATACTACATTTTTTGTGAGTAACGTAGTTCAGTCAGGAAAGCCTAGAAATGTCATCCTCTTGTGTGTGGGTTTTTTTTTATTTTTTAATGAGATCACTTTTCCAATTTTTTTTGGAGGTAGCTGTTGATAGGCAGTAATCTGTATTATTAGTCCTTTCCTAAAACTTTTCCAAAAACGTGAACTCTGTAGTTTGTACGTGTGACCTTCCTCCTTGTGGCCGCCTTCTCAAAAGCAAGCCTATATTTAAGAGCATCATCTTAAACAGTCAGGAGTTCAGGTCTCTTCGCTTTGTCGTTGTAGAACACTTAGAGTGGATGGTCAAAGTGTTCTGTGCAAACTCTTCCTATTTTTTGTGGCCCGTTTTAGAAATGCAGTCTTCCTTCTTTGGGTCTCCACAAGTCTTTCTTAGAAGTTTCTTCTTTATTCTGTTGAGGCCTCTTTCAAATCCTCCTCCATCCTTAAGCCGTACAACAGTAGTGTTCTGGATGCGTTCTGCTGCTTTTACCTGGTTCAGAGAACGGCTTCATCATGGGACTTTGTTTTAAGGCCACTGGGGCCACGAAATCTCGGCACTTTCCGAGATGCGCTTCTTTTAGTGAGCAGTGCTCTGGTTGCCTGTAAAATTAGGTATTACAAAAGCTTATTTAATCTTACATTGTTTTAGTTGGGAAAAAAAAAAGGGAGAAAGAACCAGTAATTAAAAAGACATAATAAATTAGTGCTGTGGGAGCTGAAAATAGTTTGTCGATGTTTACTAACTAAAATCAAAGTGCTATCTTGTACGTGGGATATGACAGTGGCTGCTGGTATAACCTTGTGATGAGCTACAAGAGCCAGATTTGGCTACAACGTATTAATCCAGTAAATATTTTGAGTAAATATTTTATTTGCGATTGTAGAAATAAGCTTTTGTAATTGACCAAAAGGTGAGTTTGTTTCTTTTTTTTTTTTTTTTTTTTTTTTTCCTTTAAAGACTTCAGAAGTGCATATAAATGAGTTGAAGCTGTGATTGCAGCTCAGGGTGTAGTGGAAATACCAGGCAGTAGGTACAGGAGAAGCACTTTACTCCAGGGATGCTTTTGTGGATTTCTTCTCTTACTTTTTTCGTTAAAAACATGGATTTCACTATGTTGATAGAGGTACAGCTGAGCCTCCAGATATTTGAAACAGATGCCTAAAAGCTATTGAAGAAGTGTTGATGTAGGTGCCTGGTGTAATGAAAGAAAATATTGATGTGAGGGAGGGCAGTTCTTCCTTTTTTTTTCATTGTTCGCTCCATGTAAAGCTTGGAATTTCAGGTTTCTCACTTGTGTTATTCTTCCTGAGCAAGTGCCAAATTTAGCTTGTATTTGGAGCTGCTTGATCTGTTTTGATCTGAGGTCCTAGCAGGTGCTGTGATGAGTCACAACTGGTGCGAGTTGTCAGCCACTCTTATTCCAGAAATGTCGATTTTGAAAGTTTCAGTTACTTAGAGCGTGGCAAAGATCCTTTCTTGGGGTAGGCTATAGAGTCTCCAGTAAGCGTGTGTATCTAAGTTTCTCTCATCTCTCTAGACCTGCTTCTGTCCTCCACCATCTCTTCATTGCCTTTGCAGCTCCTTTCCTTGGTTATCTGACAACATATCCATTACAACCAGAAAGCATAGGGAACTAAGTGGTGGCGGGGAGGTCAGGGGTTGGGGGGGACAAGCAAGTTAAAAGTTCTAGGACCTAATAAACATACTACAGATATGTTGTATAGCCTTCTAGGTTCACTTGATGGACAGCAGCAAACCGGACCAGAAATGAGAATAAGCTCTGAATCCTTTTCCCTCACGTGCAACAAAACAGATTATGAGCAGCAGCACGATACTGTTTTGTTAATCTTTGTTCTTCCTATTAAGACACTCGGAAAATATTGACAATGAAACGCTATGAGGGACTCTGTGTGCTCCTTTAAACCCTTTTACATCAGTCAGGTGCCATGAGTGTAAGTCACTGCAGCCCAGCGTATCCAGTGCTGTCAGGTTTTAAGTTCGAGTTGCTCCCTTCGTTTATACGGGACATGGCTTAATAAAAATCCCGCATATCACTGCCTTTAGATTTAAGTATGTGAATGCTGTTGTAGGCTCTTTATATGCTCATTTTGCGTATCCATTGCAGAAAAATGCATAGTTGTGTTTTTCCAGTCAGGTTTTGTCAGAGCTATCCTACAAAGCAGGGCTGTACATGAAACTTGTGTAGTTAGTGTTGTATTCATAATTTGTATGCAGATGGCAGAGCTTTAGGCTGTATTAAAATTGCTTGCATTAGTAACATTTAATTGTGGCTGAATTTATTCCTTGTGTTAACATGTCTGAATATTCAGCGTTTCTGCCCCACGAGGACCGTACAAATACGCTAAATACTAATTCATCAGAAGTACAGTGTTTCATATTTATAACTTTATTATTTTTAATTTTTGTTCATTTTTGCGAGACACTAATTGTAGTATCGTCCTGCTGTACTAAAGGTGCCTTTTTGTGGGTAGTGCATGTCTTACTGTGTAGATCATATTGCATGTTATTGATGCATGTTTGAAATTTGTTGTGTCCTTCAAGGCATGATAAGTGGCTATCCAGCGGTGCTGCCACCTTTGCAGGGCCCAGTTGATGGCATTGTTAGCATGGGCAGCATGCAGCCACTTCACCCAGGGGTGCCCCCACCCCACCAACTTCCGCCAGGTATGCCAGGCATCCCAGGCATCCCACCACCCGGTAAGAATGTCATCCTCATTCGCTCCTTATTTCATGTTCATGTATTCGCCATTTAACCAGTGGTTGTTGTTCTCTGCAGCTTGGTTTGGTCGTAGCTTGTTTGATCATTTCTGACCGTTACAGGTTTGTGTAGCTGCAACACACATGACGTACTGCTGAATATATAAGGTACACGCACACCACGAGCATTGCCGGCACAGCATGTGCAGCAGACCAGCGGCAGAAAGTTGCTGAGGAACTATGATGCTGCTCCAGCCAAAAACCTGATAACTCTCCTTGAGTTTATCAGAGGCCTGAAAGGCTGAAATGAGTCTATTCGTATCCTTAGGTCACCTGAAGAGCATCCTTCCACTCCCTCCTTTTTAAAGGAAGACTCTTCCCGTTCCTTACTGAAATCTTTTTTCAGTATGTTACTATTTTTCAGTGTTCAGGCTGCACTTAAATGAACCCAGTCATTTCAGACCTCTTGGCCACTGGTAGATGATCAAAATGGAGGATCTTTAAATAAGATGGACGTTCTGATTTGTACTAATATATTAATACATTATTATAAAATAGCATTCGGGTTGAACCTTTTCGATAGAGCAGTAATCGGAAACGTGGGGGTAAGGTGAACGCAGTATATTATCACGGCCAAATTTTGCATTGGTTTTTGATAGTGTATTTGGTGCTCGTTTGATATTTTCTTGCCACACTTTTGCTGGGTGGTGAGCTGAACGAACACTGTGACAGTTCGTTAGCATTTTTTCAGTGTTAATGTCACTAACATGTCCCCGTTACGGGGGAAAAATGGTTGTCTGCCATATCATCCTGTTTTCTGCTGATTATTTTGATTTTTTTTTTTAACCTCTGATAGCTCACGTGACTACTTAGAAGAAGTGCATCCTATATATTCAGCAGTTAAACTGTTAATCTGTAGACAAAAAGTGGCATCTTGTTTGCCTCCTCCTGCCTCATTTGCAACTATGTTTATCAGAAGCTCTGTTAGGTCTTTGTATGCAAATTGATTGTTTGTTTGCTTGGATTTTGTTTTGTTTTGTTTTTTTAAAGTTCATCAGTGTTAGGTATGCTACTTGCACCTTCACTGGTGCGTAAGGTTCGCGTAATGTCATGTAGCGGGAATAGGGAAACAGCCGTGTGTGTCCGAGTCCACCTCTGACTCGCCAAGGCAATGATACTTAAGCACACAACAGCAGCATGTAAGTGTTTGGCAAGGCGATCCCAGGACGATGCATTTCTTTGCAGAGTTTATTGTTTATTTTTCCAACTGGAGAAACAGGCCACGTGTATGATGTTTAAAACTGAGAGGATACAGATGAGAGAAAAAGTGATGCCTGGGAGCGGAGGGCTTGCAGGACCACAGGCAAAGTAGTGTTGAGTAGGGCTGAGCAAGCTGAAGGTAAAGCCATGCTCTGATGCTGGGAAAGGTGAGGATGCCTCCCCTCCAAACCTCTCTGCTTTGTACCAAGAAAAGATCCTTGCCATGGCACACTACTTATATTATTTACGTTCTTCCCCGCTCCTGACTTTCTGTTAGTACAGATGCATTTAAAACAGGGGTTGCCATAAACTGGGAATTCGTTCATTATATGCTCCAGTATACAAAATGCAGTGACGCATCTTCTGATTGCTGAAGTAGAAAACTGCATGCAAAATAAACCCTTAGGAAGATCGAATTTAATGTTCAGCTCTTCAAATAAATGATATCTGGTTTTGACAAGTGGCACAAACAGAAAGAAAAGCAGCGAAAGTAACTCTCGTTTGTTCAGACCCAAGCATCTACATGTAAAATATCTGGAACTGCATGACTCTCTCATTTAGCTTTGTAAATTTTTGTTTTTAGACTTGCAGGGAAATATGTTTGAATAAAACTAACGCTTTTTGTTTTTGAAACTTACTCCAAATATTCATTTGTCTCATAAAGAATACTCTTTAAGCTTAAAGTTATAAGTTGCTTTTTGTGTTAGCGAGATAGATATATAACAGACTTTTTGCAATGGCTTGGCTTTCCTCCTGCAATGAATGCATTTTATAGACTTGAACGCAGCAAAATGTTGAAATGTTGATAAATTGCTAGATTTTTTTTGATTCCAGGGAGATTCTGTCCAGCTGGAGTTGTATATTCTAAACTGAAAGATTTAGTTAGGGAATAACTAAATAATATGAAAAAAAAGAAAACCAGAAATGACTTCTATTTTCATTTCTTTAGTTAAATGAATTCAACAGGCTACATATCAGTGTTGGCTAGTTGTCATATTGTCTTTTTTTTTTTTTTTTTTTTTTTTTTTTTTTTTTTTTTTTTTTTTTTTTTTTTTTCCCATCCAGAAACTTTTAAAGTGGTTTCTACTGGGGGAAAAGGGGGTATTTGAATGCGGTACAGCTGCTTAAAAGAACAGTAAAAAAATTATGCTTTGGCATCATTGCTGTTCAAAAAGACAAAGCGGTATTTGCCACTGCTGTGAAATGAGACTAATTTTTTTTTGTGTTTTGGAATATAGGTGTTATAGGCCAAAATGTATCTCCCATGGTAGGCACTCCAGCACCAGGAGCAAGTCCATTTGGACAACAGGTAAGTCATTTTGGCATGATTTATGAGGCCGTAAGACTCTGAATTAGTATTTAGACAGCATCTCGGTTAAGATATGTTGGGATGCACGTGGCCTTTCCCCAGGAAGAGCATAAACAAAATGTACGTGGTCCTGAATACCTCTGTGTACATTTTGTACACAAATTCATCCAAGGAGCATAGACATATCCTCTGAGGGTAAAATATCTCTATATTTCTTGGATGAATTGTTACTGGACTAATTAGGTTCCAGTTGTATGAACGTCTTCTGCAGTGTAAGCCAGAGTGTTCTCTTTTCTTTTTCTTTCTTTTCTTTCTTTTCTTTTTTTTTTTTTTTAACCCTTCCTCCTCCTATTAAATGAATGTGAGTCAATTCAACACACCGTTAAACTGCTGATAATTTAGGTTTTGCATGCTTTGATGCAGACACCTTTGGTCATGACCTCTTTTAAAGCTCCAATGTATGAGGATGTTCTGACAGTGAATCAAGAGAGCAGCTTCCCCTGTCGCTGCTGGACAGGGATGGAGATTGAGTTGTAGTGTTTGTGCTGCACTTTGTTGGGTCAGGTCCTTCCATAGGGATGCGTGGATGTGAACCAGCTTCCCTGCTGTTCCCCAAAATGTGTTCTCTCTACAACTTTGCCATTGCAGATAGGAATCCTTGGCCCGCCGGGACAACAGGCACCCCCTCCGTATCCCGGTCAGAGCCCAGCAGCGCAGCCAGTTATGCAGCAGCCCACGACTCCAATGTTCGTCTCCCCTCCACCAAAGACACAGAGGCTTCTTCATTCGGAGGCCTATCTGAAATATATTGAGGGGCTTAGTGCTGAATCGAATAGTATTAGCAAGTGGGACCAGACCCTTGCAGGTAAGGCTTTCTACTCTGATGTTTCCTAACAGAGCACAGTTCTTTGTACACGTTAATAGATTAGCTCTTATGGAACGTGTTAAATGAATCTGCTGCTTGCTTAATAAAATGTATTCATGCAAGCAGTTGTTTAAAAACAAATCAAACGTACTGGGAATATGCATGCTAGCAGGCCAATTCTATTGATGGTATAGAAATCTAAGAATCACTTGTATGAGCTCAGATTCAGAGACTGGAGGGTAATAGAAATACTGTAGAATTATATTCCCCTTTTTCTAGTAATTGTGGTAAATATCAGAGGCAGGACAGATTTAGTAAAGTCAGTAGATAACTGGGCCGTGTTTCTTAACCTTCCAGCACGAAGACGAGATGTCCACTTATCGAAAGAACAGGAGAGCCGTCTCCCTTCACACTGGTTGAAAAGTAAAGGGGCTCATACCACCATGGCCGATGCATTATGGCGTCTTCGAGACTTGATGCTACGAGACACCCTTAACATCCGTCAGGCATACAACATAGAAAATGTTTAATTGCATAATTGCTTCTTTGATACCGGCATATAAGGAGTTTTGTGGAACAATAGCTGTTTTAGTTACTGGGTGGGGAGAGATAACCAACAATAATTTGTATTGCATTTTACTGTACATTGCAAGACCATTTTTATATAAGGACACTTTTAATAAGCATATTTCACTTTTTGTTATATTAAGTTGACTTTATCAAATACACAGATTTTTGCATATGTTTCCTTTGTTTGAAAGGCGATTTCATAATTGGTTAAGTGTAGTCAAGGATTCATCTTTCTTATATTTTATTGCTGAGAATCTGATGCCATCATTTTTATATAAAAGAAAAAAGAAAACAAAAAGTATTTGCAAATTGGTACAATGGAATGTGAAGTTAGTCATAGTTTACATCTTAGAAGAATGTGTGTACATGTGCTTGTGTGTGCTAGCCACGTCCAGCAGAAATCTCACTTGGATGTGAACAGGGAGGATTTCTTGAAATGAAGCTAAAGGTAAGGGGTGCATTGATGCTAGGAAAAATCAAATGTTAAGTCAATACTGAGGCTGCTGAATGGACCACAGTGATCATGAAAGTGCTGGTGTGGACGGGACAAGGGTGTCTTGACTGCTAATTGTGTCCAATCCTGTCCAGTTACCTAATTGTGTAGCCAAGGCCATTATGATCCTAAATTAGTAACAGAATACATGTGCTTTGCATGCCCTTGAAAGGTGAAGTGTTCTATCTACTGTGACCTGCTTTGGGGGTTCTGTGATGTGCCTAACGCCTAGCAGTGGGAACGGAAAGCTTATTCCCCAAGCGATTATATGTGCGTTTGTAGGAGTCGTGCAGAGCTTTGAATCGGTTCAGGTCTTGGAAGGTAAGTTAGAGAAGGGAAGTTGAGTTGTTTTGTTTGTGAAGGAGTGCGATGTTTTTAAATTCACATGTATTCTGTTAATGATTAGGCATTGCAAGATATCTTTGTATGCTTTCCTTGAGTGTATTGATTCACCTTAATGAAAGTTTTGCAGGGCAGATGGGGAGAAATTTGATGCGTAAATCTAGCTTTAACAAAATACTGCTGTATGTGTAAATTCAGCATAGCTAGTAGGTTGGAGAAATAAGAGAACTTGCATTGCAGCCTTCAGAGTGTGTTATGGTGGTGTGGTGTTTTGGTTTTTTTTTTTGTTTGGTTGGTGTTCTTTTTTTTAATTAGTAAGGTATGTATGGAATCTTCTTGCCAAATTTCAAGGTTGTGACTGTCTTCTGCTAAGGACTTCCCTGTCCTCATAACCAACCAACCTTTTGGACTGTAAAGCTATTTGTTTAAAGGCTTTCATCGTACTTCACTGTAGAAAAAGAATGAACAGTTTTTATTTCATTCGATATCTGGGAAAGCAATATTAATTTGAACCGTTTGTTGGCAGGAACGTTGTCACTGCAACTCAGTCCAAAAGAAAGCACTAATTTACTGATATGCTTTCATCTGACTGCTCGAAATGCTCATCATGTGGAAATGTGTTTTAAAGAATACTGGTACAAAAAATTTTTATTTGAGTACATTTGGCAGAAGGTTAAATATTTCTATTCAAATACTGGATACCTTGGGTTCTGTTTCAGTGATGTAATTTATACTGTTGAGGGAAGTGACACGTGCAAGTGTAAACTGTTATTTAAATATACTGGCTAATTCCTCTTCCTCTGCCACTCCAACCTTCCAGTCATTGCGTGGAAAACCCTATAATTACAAGTAGGCACTTAAGGACAGTTTAGGTCAGATGTGCAATGGATGCGAAGGAAGTGGAGCTTGGAAGCCTCCAATAGGGAAATTACAATTTTGAACTCTCCAAGTAATGCACCTGTGGTACAGGAATTCTTCACTGGCCTTTGTAAATTACCAAGTTTATTTAATAAAGTAGAAACTGAACAGTCTTAGACATCCCCCATATGCAGCATCGTCTTAGAGAGTGTTTGAATTACCATAGGCTTTGCAATATTTGGCCGCAAAGATGGGACATTGAACTGAATCAAGCAGCGAATCCTAGTTTTTGAGTATTTGGAACCATCATGGATTGTACTAATGCCACCGGATTCTCTTTTATTTCTCAACATTAACGAAAATTACACCAAAGAACCTGGGATGAATTTTAGTTAAGTTATTGTTTTATTTATTTTCTTTTGAGGACTGGATGGGACTCCCTTTGGAGCCTGTAGAACTGAAATTGTTAATTTATCTGAAGGTCAGTGATGAGCAAACTTGCAGCACTGGCTCTCTCCCGCCGGAGTAGCTGGGGCTCTGCTTTCGCTGCTCTTTCCGGCCCAGGGGCAAGAGATTGGAAGTGCGAGTGAAACCTGGGTTCTCCCGTAAGGCAGTGCAGAGCACTACCACTAAGCCGCTGGGCTGGCCCTAATCAATTATTTTAAGCATTGTTTATTTATTTCAAAATCATGTCTCTGTGTATTGGAGGCATTTCAGTTGATTGCAGTAAAATTTAGGATATAATGGCTACAGTCTAGAATTCAAGACCAGCAAAAGAAGCTTTTTTTCTGACTCTGGTTTAAAAAAAAAGAGAGACATGTCTGTCTAGCTGTCTTTTTCTCTCTCTCTCTCTCTCTCTGGGTATTTGAAGCCCTCGTTTCTTTTCCACTGCCGTTCATTGTATTGGCATAAATGAAACTTTCATATTACAATAAAAGTACGTATGGGAAATGATTGATTTCTGTGAGAGTGGAAAATAGGTTAATCTAGGACCGGTATTTTCATAAACCAGTTGGAGACCACTTATTATTTGTTTCACTTTCTCAGTCCTTCCCTTCTGTGAGAAGATTTACTGTTTGTGTAAAAAAATCAAAACGTTGTTGGTGATCTTTTTCGGCATGTTTTTGGACCTGGTTAATCCATGCTTGGCTTTTCCTTAAATCTTGTTCGCCCGAAAGTTAAGCTGATAACCAGGTTTATAACATGTATGTACCATCAGTTTGTTTACCTGAGTCTTTTTAATTTGAATAAAAATAGTTTGCAAAGTGTTTTGGATTAACCAGGTTTGAGTGTCCCATCAAGACTTTTGTTGTCAGGGTTTCATTTCAAGTAATCCTGGCTATTGCGGATCTGGATTTTGTCAGGTTCTTGGTGTGCGCGTGCACGTGTGTGGGTAAAGAACGTACGGAAACGAACTTCGGTGCTGTCCTGTGTATTGCACGACATGCCTGGTAGGTGGCGAGAAGAGGAGCGATGCTGAAAAACACGGGTGAAAATTGAGCCATAAGCAGCATGAACAGTAAACCTTGAAAACTCTTTGGTGCATTTGAAAAATGCCCAGTACAGATTATAAAATTCAGACAGTCCTGTTTGTCTCTACATTGACTGAAAATAAACAGCAAGCCTTAATTTCACATTGGAAGCTAACCTGGCTCAGGATTGTCTTTTATGTAGCTGGATAATAAAGGCAATTAAAACACTAATATGGAAAAAGCATCTTTTACCCAATAAAATTAAAAACCAGGATAGACATTTTCTTTAGTTTTACTAGCTAAAGTCATCTTGAGTGTCTAGGTGCTTCTGACATAATGATTTACAAAGAGGCATTTAAGCAGCTAGAACAGATAGCGTTACATTTAATTTAACATATATTGGACCAAGAGGGTAAACTGCCCCTCAAGCAGTCCACCAACTTTACGAAACTTCCAGCTTTCTAACATTTGAGGAAGTTGCACAGAGCAAAGTACTCGGTTCAAATTGTCCTTCCTGTTTTGCTTGCTCAGTCTGAGGTGCTGAAGATGCTTCGTAGGCGTGCTTAGCTCGCTCTCGCAGCGGCAGATGCACCAAGCTCAAGGGGTGCTTGAGAGTGGCTGAGTGCTTGGAACATCAAGTAAGAAATGAGAGCTGATCCGTTGATATATGCGAAATACTCTGATCACTAAAAAACTTCGTAATCGTTTAGCTTACTGCATTTTCCAGGAAGTCTAATTGGAGCTTGATATACAGAAAAAAAAAGAAAGCAGTTGCAGTGTTCCTTTGTAAAGAGATTTCTATCAATCCATGGGGACACTGTGGGCCCCTCTCTTCAGTCCTTCCTGCTCTGGGAGGGACCATAAATCCAGTGCAGAAGTCCGGACATGTAGGTTATTGCCTGCTGAGCCCCCCTGGGGGCTTCCCCCCGCCGCGCTGCCTCCGAGCTCCCCGCTGAGCTCCTGCGCTCCTCTGCTTTTCAGTATCTGGCCAGCGGGCTGCTGCAGCGCGGCACGGACCAGGAAGGAATCTGCGGGTTCTTGCCCGCAGATATCAGGCGGACAATAAAGAGCGCAGCCCAGAAGGTCAGGACCTGGCCGGGGCCGGGGCCGGGGCCGGGGAGGTTTGTGCGCGGAGAGGCTCGGCAGAGCTCAGCCTGCGGCGCGGGAAAGGCACGCCGGTGTCTCCGAGCACTTCTGGGCAAGGCTCCTGCTGCCGGGAGCTCCTGGCGGGCGGCGGCGCCCCCCAGCAGACGGTGCAGGTGTCTCCGGATGGAGAAACCACTGTACCTTTATTTCCCAAGTTATTTCCCAACTTCTGGATTGTGCTGAGAACATATTTGAGCTCTACCAAAAAGCGGGCATCTCTGTCTCATTGGAGAGAGGAGTTTCCTGGCAGCATCTCCACTGCAATGCTCTGGGTACCCAGCAGAAATAGTACAGGCCAATATGGAGATAAAATAGTAAGCCAGTGGATTATGCTGCAGCAGGGAGGAGTCAACAAGAAAGCAAAAAAAACTTGACATGAGTACTATCACTGGTAGAACATAAAAAAAAGGAGAATTTCATATGGAAATAAGCAAGACAGTTGAGCCTGTGCCACTCTTCGATGGCCCATTCAGTTTGATGGCTTGGGGTGTATCCCTCTCTGAGAGGCACCTGAGATTCATATAGTTGGAATAGACTTTGGAGAGGAGAAACTAAACCAAGACTTTAACAAAACCTGGACAGTAAAACTTCCCGACCTTTAATCTGCTCTCTGACACTTAACGTTGTATGCCCAGATAACTCTGGGGCACACCTAGGTTGTTCCAGCTCCAAAACAAGCGATAATGCTGCTTCACAAATTGCCAAGAAGAGCCCTGGTGTTTCGCTCCTAAACCGCACTCCGCCCGAGAAGCTCCGATGGCTGCAGGTGCAGTTGTTCAGAGACTCCAGACAAGAAGGGGGGCAGAGATGGCAAATCACGTTCCTTCAGAAGAAAAGTAAGGGATGTTTCCTGCCATACAGAAACTGAGTTTGCCTTTGTGTCCAGTCTTGACTCTCCAGCTCCAAGTTTTTGCTAGTCGGTTTTCTGCCAGGTTAAGGATTTGAATTAGCTCAGAAGGGGTTCAGTAGCCACCCAACCCAGCAGAAAGCGAATGCTTCAGCTGAGGAAGGCAGAAATGACCTCCTGTTTTGGCATACCTGTGACTGAGTGGCCCACCCTGTCCTGCAGAACAGCAGCAGCCTGATGATTGCACGTGATCAGCACCTCAAAACCCTTGAAACTCAGCTGGTCCAAGAAGAAACCATCTTGTAATTTCCAGCCTCCGTTTATTCAAGGCCAGCTTGTAAATGTTTATTGCTCTACTGCCATGGATGTGATTTAGCTTAAAGAAGTCATCTTCTGGGGTTTGCCCCTCAAACTACTTAGGCAGGAGACGCTGGTTGTCTCAGTCATCACTCAGTTCAACTCTCAGAGCAAGTGGTCCTTTAGTTCCTGAAATAACTCCTATCAAGTTAAACGGTCTCACGCATATCCGTGCGAGATCCCATTTCTCACACGTGGGTGCAAAATTTGATACGTCGGAGAAAGTGAAGGCACTGGTGCGAACAATGTCCAGGATGCTGCTGCTTTTGCAAGACCTCGCTGGATAAATCCTACGATCGCACAAGCCTTTCCTTCTCACGCAGGTCACTTCGGGGCTTACGCAGTCCTTACGGAGACTGGTCCCAAGCGCCGCCGCTTAACCTCGCACCTTCAGCCCAACTCGGGCCGAACCCGCTGCCGCCTGCCGAGCTGGGTGCGCACATGCATGGGGCTGCACCACGACGGCACTGGTAGCCAGGGGCTGGCCCCCG